AAAGTTAGGAGGGTCATTCTATCAAAGGGTTTATGGTAATTGCTATGAATTGAAAGTTTGGAACAGGAGCGTGCGGAACGGAAATCAGAGTTCTGGCATGTCCGAAAGTTCAGGTAATTTTCAGAATAAAACTCCACCATTGCCCTCTATTTCGGAATTCGTGTATTTTAGAATCAACATGCCAAAGTTTGGAATACTCCGAAATTTAGATTTCCGCAAACTCCGAATCTTCAGAAATTTCCATTTTTAAGAATTCGAAATATGCTGAAACTTCGAAATTTCGCATTTTGAAAACTCAGAATGTTCTGAGATTTCGAAATTCACAAAAGTTCCATTCCGCACACCCCTAAACTGGGAGTATGGCATTCTTCAGGGTGGCGCATAATTACCCGGACTAAAGTTTGTGCTAGCATAACATTTGAGTATAGCGTTGTACTGGGCTCAAGGTTGGAGTGCGAAAACTTAAATAATTCTTCAGTAAACTGGCCAAATTTCAAATTACTTGATCAACTTTGAGCTGAGTTATCGCTTGTCAAAGTTGCTTCATCTCATGAAAATCACAACTGCAAGAAACATTACACCGTTCATCTTTGGACAATCATAACAATACTTAAACTTGAGGAATTGCTTTGAACATTCCAGTGACTTTGAATCAAACGTAGAATTATTTTTATGCCAATTTTCGTGCTTCCAAGATACTTATGTCTGAAGATATACCCATTTTTATCAGTCCCATGGTGATTGTGCGCCACCCTGTATGTGAGGAAACGCTGTATTTTTGATTACGATATTTTCGGTTAATTGGGCATTTAGAAAATTGAAGAAATTCACTACATTTATAGTTAATACAAAAATCAAGTTATCACATTTCCCTATTCCCGTTTCACTAACCTTTTGGCAGACTGCAAGTCCCTGAAACCGGCAGATGTTGTTGGTGTCCGTTGGGAGTGTCTAATTGACAGTTTTGATGATCTATATTGACCTCTGAAAGCATTAAGAATTCAGAAGAGTGACGAATAATAAAAGATTATAACAAGATTCTGCTAGTAACGCCCCAAAGACAGAAATGAAAAGGCGATGAGCTGACGGGGGACGACGACGACGACGATGTTGTAGTCGTCAGAGAATTCTCAAATTTCAAACCGAAGACTTGGCACACAATAATGTAAAGTCTCTTCTTGTGAGTATTCTATGGACTTTAATGGGGGAAAAGTTTCACGAAAACAGGTTTGAAAGATATCAAAAAAATTTTGGCTCAAAGCTGACAGTTAGGGGGCGCTTCTCTTACAGGTTTAACGGTATACAAAGTTTCAACACGAGAGCTTCAAATTGCCTAGGGTCTTACGGCGGAGTTTGGATTTTTTAATTTCAAAACTTCTCAACAAAACTCGGAAGGTGACAAAGTTTTTTTTCAGGCCTTCTTATTTGTAGTCTTGAAAACACCTGTCCCTATTTATCGTTTTTCTCAGATTTCTCGGAATTTCGAGAATTGAAACTGGACTTTACTTTTTGCATTTCAACTCCTAAATGGTGGGGGGACATCAAAAAAAAAATTACAAGAATATCAATTCATAAACGCCCTTCGAGGGGTTAGCAACCTAAAGAAAAAGAATTTCGCTACCCAAAAATCCATTGATGATTTACAACAATCTTCGAAAGAAAAAAAGAGGAATATGTTGCAAAAAATGTTTCAAGTGTACCCGTGTTATCTGTGTGTCTAAAAAAACGTCTGATAAGAGACGCTAATCTGTTAGAAAATAGTGTTGAACGGGGAAGAGAACAAAGAACTCTGAGAACACAAAATTATCTTTTCTCAAAATCTTGTCAGAGGCACAAAAAAGTAATTAACAAAATGTATTTGTTATTGAAAACAATTCAACTAACCTGAAGACGTGCTCATTCAAATAGGGAATTCGAAACTAGAAACGACAGTTCTCTAATGGTAACTAATCAGGTAGACGATTCGATTAACGATTTCTCTCCCTTTTCCCCTTTTTTCACCCATTAATTTTCGAAATTTTCTCCACTTTTCCAATTGAATAGGTATCTGTCTTTTGACCGAAAGATACAGACCGATTTGACAAAAGAAAAAAAACGAAACGTAAAAATCGTTTTTCAAAAAAATGACGCAAGATTTTAGAATTGAAAAAAAAGAAGAAGGGAAAAGAAGGAGAAGAGGAAGAAGAAAACGGCAAAAAGAACTGGTTTGACGGTACGCTGACATTTTGGTGGTAGTTGTGGTTGTGTGGTCGAAGAAGAAGGTTCAATTATAGGATTTTAAAATTTGACTAGACTTTTGAATACATTTTTTTCAGTTTTTGAACTTGTTTTCAAGGGGTTTTAGGGAATTTGAACGAAAGGAACTCACCTAAAGACATTTTCAGGAAACCAGAATTTTTAGATTCCAACTTCTCAATTATTAACATTTTTGGATACCTGATAACTGAATCAGGGTGGGAAAACGCAAATAAAAACTTGGGAACCTGGTTTCCCGGAAATTGAAAATTTGGCCAATCGGACATGAAGGTTTAATCAAATACTACCACTTATTACTCGGAAGTTGAACCTTTCAAATTTCCAGATTTCCAGCTCAAATCTGATTTTCAGCCATCTGGAGGGATTGTAGAAATCGACTGGTTATCAATAAATCCCCTAGAAACCCAAAAGTACATTTTTTCAGTTTACAACGATTAAAACATTCCAGACATTCTCTTCAAGAGAAACTCGAAAAATTCAAAGCTCAAACTCCTGGAGCAGCTGAGCAGCAGCCCCCAAACACAAAAAGGTGCACAGCAATTTTAGTGTGGCATTTAGCAGCAGAAAAAAAACGAGATTGACGACACACACATAGTGCAAAAACGTTAACTTTTTTGGCTAATCGTTCAGAGAAAAAAGAAAAAAAGACGGGGAGGAAATTTTTTTTTTTTTGGATTTGTGAGGGATGGAAAGGAGGGGAGGACATCCGACTAAAAGGTTGCAAAGTGACTTTTCATTCGGGAAGAAAAAAAACTGAAGGAAAAAATGAATGGGCGAAATTGGGAGATCACTGAGGAGAGGGGGGCAGACAGTGTTGGAACAGGTTGGATCATAAATCGACTACTTGATTTCAATAACATGAAAATATAGGTTGGAATAGGAATGGAGACATAGAGAACTATAAGACCTGGTTTAAATTTTCCGGAATCGTATAGTTCTGGATACCCTGATGCACTATTTATATTTTTCAGATATTCTGATTTTCAGATTTCAAAAAATTTCAGCAAAATAAATTTCTCAACATCTCAAAAACAAGATTTCGTAATTTTTCCTCGCTCTGATTTTCATAATTACGGGCTTAAAATATTATGAATAGTAGAATGACGGAATTCAAGTCTTCTAAACTTATCTTATGTTTTTCAGGGAAACATTAGCTAATGTTTGAATGTAAGGAGGGCCCTTCTACAGGTTTCCTGGTATCTAAATTCGAAGATTCCCGAATTATCAGATTCGCTACTCAGATTTTTGAATTATCAGATATCCAGGTTTCCGGATTTTCAGAATTCCATGCACCTAGAATTTTCAGATTCAGAGCTCTCTCGATTTTGAAAAATTCTGCAAAAGAACAGAACACAGCTCCCGAATGAAAAAAAAATCCAGAAAATTGTGTGCCTTCTTGATCACTGATCACTTTTTCACATAAAAGTCCGTTTGCACTTTTTCACAATTTTCCAGGCAATAATTGGAATTCAAATTCATTATTTTTCAATTCTAATCTTGAATTTTTAGTAAGATGAAATTTAATCAGAATGCGACAAAAACATAGACATCGACGTAAATGTATACATTTTTCGTAAAACACAGATCCTCAGATTTCTGAAAAATAAAGAGTCTTATCGTCGCACATTCTGACACCAACTCTAACGGAATTAGGAAGGACTTAATCGGGTTTTTGGAGAGAGTCGAAAGATGAAGTGAGAAAATATTAGTATTTCTCAAGATGTCTATCAGACGAGAATTCGTAAAATTGTTGATTAGAAAAAAAGAAGAAGAGACTTTCAACGAAAAGAAAATTAGATCGATTTGGAAAAAAAGAGTAGTTCGGGTCGACCTTCAATTTTTGAGTTTTGATTGATAACAACTTTGGGTTCGAATAGGAAAAAAAAGAAAGGGAGAATACAAATTGATAAAATAGTCCATGATGTCATCAAGCGAGTAGAGCTGACCTGAAAATTTTGTTTGTGTGCGTGTGTGTGCGTGTCCGTTTGTTTCCGGTTACCGGACCCTAGCAAAGGTCACACTGGGCCGAAATGTTCCAAAGTTTCCTAGATAACCTGAAATATTAGCGTGATAATGCCTGCCTATTTTGATCAGAGAACGGTGACTTTGAAATTATTGAACTTCGCCTGACCTAAAAGTTATCGGAAGCGCAATTTCTGACCAAACTTTTGGACTGCTGTGCTCCGCCAGTCGACGGCTACAATCTTCTAGTAACTTTTAAATTTTTATTATCAAAACATAGAAGAAAACAGAAAAAAATATCACAATTGAAAGACAGAATGAGGTAGAGTATCCAGTAAAATTGGAGAATTGTGTATAACACTTACTATTCACAGAAAGAACACAAACAGTTCTCTCTTCAAAAACAGCACCTACTGAAAAAAAGGAATTGAAATATTGTTAAAGCAAATAATTTAAGTAGGACCATTTTTGGGAATGGGCATGCATCTGATTTTTTATCGCTTCCTTTTAGTTTTTCATCACATACATGCACATTCCCTAGTCTAGAATCAACCGACTAGCCGAATGGATTTTTCAGGGATGAATAGAAATAGAAAATTAGGAAACAAAAAAAGAAAGAGAACACAAAGAAATGGAGAAATGAGCAAACGGGATGGAGGGAAAGTTGAAAGGGAAAGTGTCCATGATGGCCCAGAAACCCAAATATTGGATTTCTAGGCCACATCAACAAACTCCAAAAATTAATTTATAACTAGAGCACACACACAAAACTAAAAAGAAATCTAAACACTGGTATTCAATCCCATAACTCCAACTCCTTGGGATCCTTGAATATCCGTTGGTGCTGGGGAGAAACCACGTGGCTCCATTGTCATAGGCGTCGCCGTCGTACCACGTGGCGGAGGCATCGTCACAGTTCGTGGAGCATTCGAAAGATCTCCCACAGATAATGCCCTTGGTGGTTTAGTTTCGTATGACTGGTTTTGGAAAGCATTGTTACTGTAGGCAGCCGTGCCAGAGTATTGTCTCGATTCTTGTCGCTTCTTTTGTTTGATGCACCAGAAGACGAGGAAGATCAGAAGGATCACAATGATGATTCCGACGATTCCGAAGATAACTGCCAACCACTTGAAGTAATTTTCCTTGATTCTCGATCGGCACCATGGCTGGTTTCCTTTGTTCCACTCGAATCGATACTCGTTTGGACGATTGTAATCAACAACAATTCCGCACTTGTACTCATGATCTCCCTTGACCCAATGAGACTGATAACACTCGAATCTTGCCACATCTCCTTGTAAGTATCCAGATGACAACGCTGGAGTCTTCATCATGTATTCTGGGTACTCAATATTGATGGCTCCACAACTGTTGTACTGTCTAATAGCCATTGCTCGGTCAGTGGTGAACATGTTCCATGAATCTTGCTCTTCTTGACCCAAAACCTTTGAGTTCAATAGTGCATAGTCATACAAGCAAGCAACAGAATCTCCGCATTCCGTGAGAACCTGTCCTGGATCATCTGGGCATTGGAGTCCATAACTCAATGTGGCAATGCTCTGGTATGGTTGGAGGTCGGCTGGAAGGTTATGACTACATTAAGTATCAACAGAAATATCTTACTATTCGGATTGTTCTGTAAATCTCTGCAAGTGTTCAGAAGCTGGAGAATCATTGCTCCGGTCTGTGGGACGAATCGGTATGATCCGCTGAAATTTTAGTATCATAATATTAATTATCCTGGATGCTCTGAAACTTACGTATCGAAAACTGGAGCCGTCTTGTAAATTGGCTCGGATCTCATACTGGCTTCTGGGAACACGTCGAACTGTTTGTCGTCATCTCTGGATGTGGTGAACATGTTGTCAGATGGCATCATCTGGTTCAAAGTTCCAGCTTGGTTCTGTTGAGTTCCTGGCTCACCGGTTCCAAGGACAAGGTCTGAAACAATCTCATGAATCTCTACTTTCTATTTCAAAAATTTCAAACTTACAATTATTAATAATCTGTTGTCTATAGGCATCAGAGTTCACATCATTTAGAGTCAATCCCTCGTTCAACGATCCACTAGTCTGATCTGGATACGGGCGGATCAATCCGCTGACACGTGGTAGGTTATACAACTGTCTGTACTGAGCTTCCTGAGTCTTATCTCCATCCGGGCGTACTCCATATTGAGGTGACACTGAGATTTGAATATCCAATATTCCCATACTCTCTTGGTAGTTTGGAAGACGATCAATATCCAAAGCATAACTTTCAGTGACCTTCACTCCGATTTGAGCTTCCTCCAGGACTACATAAATTTCCGGTTGTCCACGTTCTACATTATTCACATAGATGAGGACACCACGGAAACGTTGGAGACGGATGGTATCGAAATAACGAAGGATGTTTCCGACGATGATATTGGTACGGTAACGGAATCTACGGGTGTCTTTTCTAGTCGTAATGATAACTCTTTCCGTTCCAGTAGCTTCCAATGCAATTCCAGTGATAACAGTAGCATTGGTTGGCTGGACCAACTCATATTGAGAGATATATCTTCCCAACAATCCAAAGTCAACTTTCCGGTTCGGATATCTTTCCAATCTTGTTTGAATTCTCACTTCTGGAGTTCTTATGGACTGCGGGATGTACAAGAAGTTAAAGACTCCCGGTTGATTGAAAATGAATTTATCATTATCAATGGTTTGGAATACTCCCGTTCCTTGCGCATGACCTATAGCCGGCGGCTGATACTGCTGACATGCGGAAGACGGACGCCTCCAATAGAACATTTGACATCGGAAGTCGGCAAATTTACAACAAAGGAAATAGGGCATGTAGTCGTTGTGAAATACTGATAAACCAGGAACCTGAAAATAAAATATATATTCGATACTTATTTATTGGCTTGTGATCTTAAAGTTGCAAGAAAATGACGAATCCATGCTAAACCTATAATCAGTGAGATTTTGAATAAGTGGTTTAGCAAAACTCATAGTTAACATATTTTATAGACAAGTGATTTGTACTTTCAGCTCTGTGCCTAACTCACTGGAGCATAATGTTTAATTTCGTGATACTGTAACTCTAAATTTACTAATAGCTACTACAAATTACTCACCTCAAACTGGCCCATATACGGTGCCGTACCAAATTCATAAGCTCGTAAGGGGTAACCGGGATTGTAGAAGTACTCCTTCTGAGTTTTGATAACCGGCTGATACGGGGTTTGCATCAAATATCCACTCTCGTCGTAGCAACAAACTTGCCCGTAGTGAGTCATGAAGCGGCTGAAAATAGAGAATATTAGGAATACTTACCAGACATATGGCTATTCAACATTAAAAAATCCGAACTCACTTGGTATCCATGTTATGGAAAGTGTTACCGTCACCTGCATAACTGGAATAGATGTTCGAAGAAGACATGTAACAATTTTTGGATCCGATAACTGTCGTACAAGTGATATCACGGAACATTTGAGAGCATCTTGGATGCGGCATGAATCTTCCCAAATCCAAAAGAGCTTGAGTCTCAATACATGGACAGGATGTATTAGTCTCAGTATCTCTGATGAAATTCCACAATGCTCCATCTTCATCATACCAATCGTGGCACATTTCTCTAGATTTCTCCTTTACGAATTCAACTCGTTGATCTCTATCCTGTTGGTTCAAGGTCAATGTGGCAAACTGCTGATTCTCTGGAGTCCAAAGCCAATGCAAAGAGATTGGAGCTGAAACCAGGCCAGGCAAAAGTAAAGTACCATTCTGATCATTTGGATTTATTGGAGCCAATTTGAAGAATCCAACTCGATAAGTATACAAAGTGTGCATCCTTTCCCAATCTGTCAGATACCACTGCTGAACTTGATTGGTGTTGATAACCTCTTCCTGTGGCATCCACCGATAGTTAGCATTGTTCTGGTTACTGTAGGTGGTGATTCGAGCCAACGTACGGTATTCTGGACGGAACTTCTTGATTTCGTCATCTTTGAACTCTCTGTATCCGACAATGTAAAGACCGAGTTGGACTCCATACATTGAATCGTCGGAGATTCGAACTCCCATGTTGTTTCCGTTGGTAAGGATGTCTGGATTTGTGAAGTTCCTAGGATACCAAGTGATGGGCATTAGCTGAAAAAGTAAAATTTGCGAAATCACAATTTAAAAAACCACTTACATAATTCGTCATCGGATTCTTGTACCATTCGTAGATGTTACCAATGTCTAACCTCATCGGGTCCAGTGTGGGCGGGACTGAAAATGAAACTCTGGTTTTTTGAAAAAAAAAAAGGTTCAAAACTCACCAAAATAAATATAACCAACGAATGCCTTCTCATCATTAGCTCCTCTAGAATCTGGCTGGAAGTAGACAGTCTTGGTTCCCCAATCGTAGATCTTTGGAAGAGAACATCTAGCGATGGCTGAGTTAATGACTTGACATGTGGCGACTTCTCTTTCCTCAATCATCATTTTGTAGGTTTGGGTACGATCGAGGCAACAAGCATTGACATCGACAGTCATATCTCCCAACATGTTCACAATATTTGGATAGATCATAATTGGGTCTGGAAAGGAATTTAATGAATTCAGAAAACGCCCGCTTTCAAAACTTACATGTTCCTCCAGTTTTGTTAGAGCATCCAGCTGGTCTGACCACATCATCCACTCTGAACATGTATCTACCTCTGACCATGTGTGGAACTCCGGATCGTTGAGCAAGTACCTTCGGAGTGTTCTTGTATGGTTGGGTTGGATCAACTTCGACGGTTCCAGTATGATTTCCTCCGTTAAAGACGGCACGGCATCTTCCGGATCTTGAGTTTCCACGGAAGTCCTGAGCATCGAAACCGAGACGATCGTAGTTGATAATAACATACGAAAGACGGGCGGTGGAGTCGGTCAACCAGACAACTTGGTAAGTTCCAGTCTGTCCTGCATCAATATCGGATCTTCCGGAAATGGCAGAAGCAGTGTTGTACCACGTAACAACGACAGCAGCATCAGCACGGAACATGGCTCCTCCGGCGACTCCTTCTTGTACCCAAATCATCATTTGATCTAGGAAATAGTCACTGTTTGAGTCACATCTAACATAACTGTCGGCAGTTCCTGGACAAGCTTGGCTGGCAGTTTGTCCGAAGAATGCGTTTTGTTGGAGGGAGCCACCCAAATTGAGATTTGAGTTTGTTTCTCTCCCGAAAAGGGATTGACGAAGAAGAAGACGATAGTAGACTCCTGCACGACGAGCTGGGTTTCCTTGTTGAGGAACTTGTTGTTTGCAGAGGTATGGGGCAATCATAGCTGGATCTTCTTGTCGGGGCCAATCTGTTGTTTCTGGACCCACATTAATTGTTGGTCCTTGGTCGAGGACTGTGGCGAAACCAAGGTACCCATTGACAGAGATCTGAAAAAAAATAATTTAGTACAGTACCCTACATAATGAAATACTTGAAACGAAATGTTTACTTACCGTTGTGTAATTGTAAAGTCCACCATAATATGGGAAGAACATATACAAATCAATTGTCATTCCAGCAGTTAACATTGACGGATTCACCATCAAATCACCAGCTTCTGGACCGAACGGCACGAGATTGACTGGAAAAGAATAAACAAAGGTGTCAGGTTACAATGAACATCTGTTTCAAAAGTCTCACCTCCATAATACGGATTGGTGCCCGTCCCTGTGAAAATTTGTCCAGGGGAAACTTGATTAATTGTCGGATTCTGAACAGTTCCTCCAATATTCTGATTGATTCCTCCGAGTCCGATATTTTGATTATGGGTTAGATGGGGAAATGTGGTGAGCAGGAGCAGCACCACCGCTGAGAGCGGGTGCCGACTTCCCCGTCGCATCTATGCTGAAATTAGAAAAAATTGAAGCCGAAATGAATTTTAAAAAGGCCAAGACGACAAATTTCCAAAACTGGCGGATAAATGAGATGCAGGATAGATTTCAAAAATCAAAAAAAAAACATATTTGTGCAGACTTTTTTTTGAAAAGGCTAATGAAAAAATTCAAAAAAATCGACTATCATCGAGACTACATTTGACCGAAATCTTCAAAAAAAACTTTCAGTGAACAGAAAAGACCATAAATACATCTACCGTGCAACCTGAAATAGAGAGGCTCCTAATTTTCAACTTGGAGCCAAATTTTCTCTGTTCCTGTAAAAGATATCAAAAAGTGGCTAACAGATGAAATAATTGTGATTTTATGATAAACTTTTTGTCAGTTGACTAGTGAATCCCTAGTAGTGATTGATATATTTTACACGGACCGAGATATATGAACCCAAAGTTGACGGTTTCGAGGGAGTTCTATTAGTGTTTACAGTGTACTGTGCTTCAAACAAATAGAAAATTGAGATATTTTGAAACATGTAGAAATTGAATAATACACTTTAAAATTTGGAAAAGTGCAACTTTTTTCCTACTGAAATCCTAGACTAAGCGAATGTTTCACTACACAAAAGGTGCGACGTTGTTATTGTTGAGATGCTGGCTATTTATATGTGTGCACAAAGAGCAAACTAAAAAAACAAGAGAACCCGTCCTGGTGATTCAGACTGAGCTGGAGAAAAAGTGCAAGAAATTCAGGAGAACAATTTTGAATTAACTTCGGTCAGATCTGATCCAACGAAAAGGATGAGTCTTCCAAAAATTGGTAGACAGAGTAAAATAAAAAACTCGTCCACTACAGTAACCACAAAATTTATGACTACCAGTATCCCTAGAAAATCAAGGATCCGACATACAGTACGGAAATGAGGTAAACAAAAGAAGCGAAGAATACGAAATCGTAATAGACAGTGCAACAACGGCCCCAACAACTTGAAGGGAGCATTGGGGTGTTTCGGAGAGAGCCCTCCTCCGAAAACCAAGCAAACATCATAGAAGGGAACGTCGTCCGTTTCGTTCTGGGCTCTCTTAAGTTCCGAAAACATCATATGAAATCGGAGAGACGACAGACGGTAAAAGAGGGGGCTCACAGGTCAAACAGTGGTCAGATGGGTGGATGGAATGGCTCAGGTAGATGATGGACAGCAGAGAGGGAGAGAGGTATGTGTTCCAGTAGTAGTAGTAGTAGTAGGCAAACTGACTCTTTATTTGCACTTCAGACTCTGCCGCTGCGTCTGACCTCTGCAGCTTCTAAGGGAGTAGATTGAATATGCATAAGCGGCAGGACGGGAAAGAAGAAGAAAAAGAAGAAGATGAGGGAAATGAATGGAATGGTATGCAGAGCGAACAGTTGGGAGGAGCTTGTCGATGCTCTTCTGTACAGTTTCAATAAAATACATTGGAAAGATTGAAGGCAAGGGTTGGAGAAACTGGTTTAGGTTGTTGGAAAGATGTATGGTGAACTTATAAAAATTTGTGAAGGAATCTTGGCTGTCGGCTTGTAACTTCTGTTCAGAACTTGAGTAGCGGTTCGGCTTTTGGACAGATGTTGGCTAGGTTCTCATCAGAAGTTGCTCAAAAACGGATGTATATGGTCAGATTTTTGTCTAAAGTTGGAATTTGGAATACTACTAGGTCGGAACCTTTCCATAAGGTTCTTGGTTGGCTATAGTAATGGTCTTATCCTTAATCGGACCAACCTAAGATAAGAAGTTGCCAGCGACGTCCGAAACTACGTGATCAGAGTGGGTCTCAAGAAACCCCTGAAGACAAAAATGTACCAATCGACTGGCACAAAAAATAGTTAACTGAAAAATGCTTCCATGTTACAGTGGAGGTCAAGGTTCGACTCTATTAAAGACATTCCAGTAATTAAAATCGATGGAACGGATGGGGGTGTCGGTTTATTAGAAGCAACAATAGATTTCTTAATATAAATATTCTCTCATGAAGTTAAAATATTTTCATAAAGTCCACAAACGACATTGTAAAATAATATAAATCTCCTAAAAATCGATTCGGTCATTTGTAACAAAAATCGAGAACTGTTCTGGTCACTCATCATAGACCTCTTCCGTTCCTTTCGGCCATATTTTTGTTCGTTTATCCTTTGTGTTTACACGTGTATGTGTAATCTTCCCATAAGCACATTTTTGTGTTCTCCACCTCCTTCCTCTTTCTTCAGCTCAATCTTTTGCTCGTTATCCTCTATCAGCAGCTTGAGCACGTACAGTGTTTGTTTTCTTTTTCCGCGAGGACGACGGAATGGAGAGAGAGAGCACCAAAGGAGACCAACCGAAACTAATTTGGGGTCGAACCGACAATAAGGAGAGCCCCCAAAAACAGTAAATGTTTGTAGGGAAGACAGCGGGATGAACAAGCCGACACGATGAGCAACTTGGCATTCAGCCAAGGAAGGAAAAATCGGTTTCGAAAATGAATACTGATCAGGAGAAGGGGCTTCTGTAAATGTTCTGAAATTCATGAGATCTTGAAAATCGAGTGTATTATTTGAAACAAAAAATGTAATGAATAATTTATTCAGATTCTAGATTTTTATTGATACAATCATAGATATATACAAGTGTACATGATTATTTAAATCCAATTGCTCTATCCCCAGAGCAAGCTTCTCCAGAACATTCTACGGTGGAATCGACGGCAATGGAATCCACAATATCCGTATCCGTATCCCCATGCATCGGAAGATTGTAGGAAGACACAGAGAAGAACGAGAAGGAGAATAATGTTGAATTTCAGAGAAGCCATTTTTTTTCAGAATACTAGAACTTTTTTGGAATGTGTAAAATTGTTCTGATGTCAGAATTTTGACTCCATTTTGTATTTTATAGGTTGATCTTATTTTCGCAGAAAAAAGTTATACATCATTTTGTTTATCATTTTTCCTGAAGTAGTTTAGGTATAGTAAAAATTCTAAACACATAACCTAATCTGATTTCAAAACTCGTGTTCTACTAATTTGTTCAAGTTTCATAAACAGTACAACCAATCTTCTGATCATTTTGTTCAGCGAAGTTTCCAAAGAAATCAACATGTTCTTACTGAAAAGATTCGCCACGTGACGTTGTCGTGATTTGGATTCTAAATAATCCAAACAGTCTAGAATAGTCCTCCACCCATTCAGACAACAGTAGACAATTATCAAGTTTCTCATGACATTTTGTTTGTATAGATGATGTCACTTGAATTGTCTGCGTCTCTTATCCTTGACGTCTTCTTGAAAACAAGATCAACCTATAAAAATCAGAAGAACGCGAGAGGCAAGACAACACAACAAGAACTTGTACTTTCTAAATAGCTTTCGAAATAAATTCTGAAATTCTGAAAAAGATGGCATCTCTGAAATTCACTCTCATCCTCCTTCTTGTCCTTCTCTGTGCCTTCCTTCAATCTTCTGATGCTCAATGTAAGTTTCTTGAATTCTCGTGAAGTTTTAAATTTCAAATCCTTTTATTTTGCAGTATTCTCTCCATGGGGATGGGGATACGGAGGATTCTGTGGCTGGCGTTGCCGTCGCTTCCATCGTAGAATGTTCTGGAGAGGATTGCTCTGGGGATAGATCAATTGATGTTTGTAATGATCTTGTACACTTGTATATTTGGATTTGAAAAACAAATTCTAGAAGCTGAATAAATTATTTATATTGAAGTTTATGTCTTGAAGAACACACCACAAACTCTTGGCCAAAAATTCGGGGGGTACAATGATTCTTGGGTACAAGGGGGTACAACGATTCCGGGGTACAAACTATAAATGATTCTGGGGTACAACCCATTTCATTTAGGAAACAACGCTTGTGATTCGGGGTTACAATTTTTTTGAGGGAGTTTCTGAATTCCTGAATTTCAGAGCTTGAAAATCTCAGAATTCTTAGAATATCAGAACTTTGGAATTCCAGTATTTCGGAATCTGAAAATTTCGGAACTTCAAAATCTGAGAATCTAAAAATTTCCGAATTTCAGAATCTCAGGATTTCAGAACTTCGAAATCTCAGAATTTCAGAACTTCAAAATTTCAGAATTACAGAACTTTGGAATTCCAGAATTCGGAATCTGAGAATTTCGGAACTTCAGGATCTGAGAATCTGAAAATTTCAGAACTTTGGAATTTCAGTGTTTCGGCATCTCGGAATTTAGGACGACAGAAATTTTTCATTTCTCATTGTCACATTGTTCTTTTTGAAAATGGAGATCTGTAAAATAAGCTTGACAAGTTTTACAAACTCAGGTTTTTAATGCTTAATTTAAAATTAAAACCCAGCTGATATTTTCCTCAATACCAATTTTTCTCAATTCTATTTCATTTCTCTTTGTTTCTCAATATTCCTTCGTTTTTACCCCAATTTTCCGTTTTTTTCCCGATTTTTCTCAATTTTTCTCAATTTTCGTGGTAATTGAATTTTTTCTCATTTCTTTTCATAATTTTCTAGATCATTGATTGAAGGAAACAATCACAAATTAGCAATTTACCAACGAAATTCGAAAATCCCAAAAATTAGCCCAAAATGAGCTATTTTCTTTCGAAAATTGTTCGAACAGGCAATAAAACATTGCAAAAATTATAAAATTAAATTTTTTCGATTAATTACCACGAAAATTTGAGCAAAAACGATGAAAAACGAAGGAAAACGGAGAAAATTTCAAAAATACAATTTGCGAGCGATGACGTCATCAGTCCATGGCCGTGGCCGAGCTGGGGGGTTTTCTGGTTTATTTTTATGCGGAAGGGAAGAAAAACCAGCCATTTGCTTTAGTTTTTTAGGCTATTCTCTAGTCTTTCTAGGCCATTTGAGTAAGATTTGCAAACAAAATATTCAGAGCAAAAGTAGCTAGAGCTTTTCATGTAAAAGGTTTTTAAAGGAGTTCTATGATTGAAAATTGGCTTCTGTATGATTTTCATGATTTTTTTAAAAGAAGAATATCATAGGTGATGGAATAAATGGGGTTTTGCTTAATTTGTTGATTTTTTCTTAATTTAGTTGATGCCCAACTTTTTTTTTGATATTTTTCCTGGCGTCTTCTGGAGACTTTTTTTCTTTTACAGTACTAATTTAAAAAATGATTGGAAAAATATTCTAATGCAAAATTGCTGTAGTTTTCTAGGCTATTCTCTAGTCTTTCTAAGCCAGTTGAGTAAAATTTGCAAACAAAGTATTCAGAACAAATGCAGCTAGTTCTTGTTTAATTGGATCTATTAATGTAAAAGGTTTTAAAAGAGTTCTATGATTGAAAATTGATGCCCAACTTTTTTTTTTTGTTGATATTTACTCTAACTAATATCATCACAAATTTTACTGTTTCAAATGTTTTTTACTATCTTCCTTATATATAAAACGCTAGAGGCGTCTACAATGATTCGGGGGTACAAGGGGGCACAACTGATTTAGGGGTACAAAATTGGTGATTCGGGGGTACAAAATTCGTGGAGACAAAAATTCGGGGGTGCAACGATTCGGAGGTACAAACTATCAATGATTCTGGGGTACAACCCATTTCATTTAGGGATACAACGCTTGTGATTCGGGGGTACAATTTTTTTTGAGGGAGTTTCTGAATTCCTGAATTTCAGAGCTTGAAAATCTCAGAATTCTTAGAATTTCAGAACTTTGGAATTCCAGTATTTCGGAATCTGAAGATAAATTAGTTGTACCCCCTTGTACCCCCGAATCATTGTACCCCCCGAATTTTTTGCCCAAACTCTTAGGTCTTCTGAATTCCAGAGCCGTACAATTAGAATGGCAGATTCTGTCAGTATCTTATTATTTCAGATTGAAAAATTGTAATTTTTCCTACAGTAATCTTTTTTAATTCTAATATTTTTCAGTACATTAACCGTTTCCATTTTGGAATATTTTCCCTACATGTAGGCCTACAGTAATCCTTTTTCATTTCTAATCTTTTTCTCCTACAGTAATCCCGTTGATCTTCGAATATTTTTCCCTTCAGTAATCATATTCATTTTCGTTTAATTTTTTTTCCGTGAACTGTTCCATTTTTTTCTAACTTTCCAATGTCGTCCAAAATGTCGATGTGGCTCCGAAACAAAAGTAATCAAATCAGTCCCGAGTTCTTACTCCCTCTCGATAACCCTTACTAACAACCTCTACTAACCCCTATCAAGATGCAAGTGCTCATCCAAAGAAAGCCCATCAACCAGAAGCTTAACAAGGTAAACCCATGAGTCTGAAGCTTTCTAAGAATCTAATTCTATGAATCTTTAGATGATCCCTCTTCCAAATGTCATCGAATGGCGTGTAAATCCAGACGACGTTCTTCATCGTGGACGTGTGATGTGCATGTTCCGTACCAAGCACGCCTTCTTCCCTGACGACATCTCCTCGTTGAAGATGAGAATGACAACGGTGACGAAGAGTGGTGACATGATTGTGTACGATTCCAAGGATAAGGGATTGATCGTCAATCTTCGCGATGCCACACATGTGTTGACCGATTGTGACAAATACAAGGCAACGAAGATGAAATATGTAATTTTTAGGACCATGGCCCAACCAATGTACTTTTTCAGTCGCGAAGCCACATCAAGATCAAGATGCCACGTGGCAACATTCATCTGTTCGTTCGTGACGAATCCATCTACAAGTGGACTTCTGCTATCCTCGAAGCTCATGTCACCACTCGCCCGAAACCATATGTCATCATCAGGAAGGGAGGTCTCAACATCACTCAACCGAAGCAAGAAGTTATCACTGCCATCGAACATTTGGATGCTCCAATGTCCCCGTCCCCGTCTAGCAGTGGATTGATTACTGTCATTGAGAGGCCAACGACTTCTGAAGACACTGCCATGTGAGCAATAAAACATTCTGAATTTTTTTATTCGATTATTTTCAGCCCATCCATTCGTCATGGAGCTGTTCCAGTCAACACCCTCCGATGCAAGATTGAAAAGGAGATTCTGATGAATCCAAAGGTGGAAACGCTTAAACAACCAATCACATCCGAGAAGAAGTCATCTGAAAAGAAGACACCCATGGAAGAAAAGAATTTCACTTCTTATTTTGTGTTCCACGAAGGTGGAATTCGTGCTCATGCAGCTTCGATTCAGGTGAAAACGGAACCATTGGATGAGGGGAATCAAGTGATTCTGAATGTCGAACGAAAAGATGAGGAGTCGAATGGATCCGTGAAGAAGGATTGGTGGATGCGATCTTTGAAGTGCTAGATCTATACTAATAAACGTTTTTTTCTTGACTATTGTTGTTCATTTTCCTTACACACGGCGAACAATTCACGAAAATTACAAAATTTTTTTGATTTATTGGCCCTGAATATTTTTTCATGATCTATATTCAAAAAAGAAGCCGAGAGTTTATCCTTCAGAAACATAAAATTTGGTTAAAAAAATTTGGTTTTTGCCCAAGTTTCAAGGTGTCAAATTAATAAATTACATGAAATGTGATAACTCAATTTATGGATCGTATCGAGCTTTCGCCCAGCATATATAGATGATTCCAATTACGGAGAATGACACAAACAAGGTTCCAAAGAACCAGATAATCGCGTGAATAATTGTTTCAATGTTAATATCCACAATCAGGCAATCACCACAACATTCTGGACATTCGGAGCAACAGTGTTTCGAAAAGAGAACAGTGCAGTTTTTGTGGTTCTTAAATCACAGGAAATTATTTTCTTTCCTACAGTAATCGCTAAAATTACACCTACCATGTTATACATAAAATAATTGTGGTGGTAGTTGTATGTGAGACTCGAACATATTTTCGCATCTTCCAGATTTTTATAATCGCTTGTTGTGACTTCTTCCTTCAGCTCTTCGTACACTCGAACAAGAGATACGCACGTTTTTTGATGGAAATGGAATTGAACTTTTCCAATTTTACCAAGATCATTGGGTTGGATGGTGCATAGTTGTTCCGAGTCATCGCTTGTTTTGTATTCACATCCATGAACTAGTGGTTTTGTTTTGTTACAATAGTAATCGAGACAGGCCTGCAAATAATTTTTATAATGTCGATAATTAGAGAAGGGACGGCATGAAAAAATAATTTTCTTGAAATAACACAGGCCGCAGGTGTGGTAAAAACAGAGCAGTCGAGGCTGAAGACCGCTGAAGGGTGAACGATGATACGTCGGCGACCCACCCAGAAATGGGGAGAAATATGACTTTTTGAGATTCTGGTCATCAGAGTCAAGGAAATCAAATTCTAACTTTATGTTTCTCGAATTTTTATCAGAAACCTTTCTCTAAACACTGAACGGCCCATTGGCGGCTGAACGGCTTCTGAATAGAAACTGGAGGGCTACTGTCGGGGGAAAGTCGGCATACGTTGAAAATAATAATGCGAATTTTTAGATCAATATACACACCGTTACATCAGAATGCATACGCTAACTCAAAAAAATAAACAAAGAAAAATCTCTTGTCCCCCTATCAATACATACCTTCACATCAAACGTTCTCATAGCATCATCCCGTTCGAAGCCGGTGTAATGATAGGAAACAGCTACTGGATTGATGTACTTGACCAAATTTACCGTCAAAATTGGTTGTTGTTCTTTCGAGCACCAAGCTTTGTATGTTGGAGGATTCTCTCGATCCAATAGAACAAGATTGCTTTGATCTCTCCCAATAAATGGGGCGAGGTTTGAGCTAGAAGAGAGACTGGAATCTACAGAAGCACCATTCATGAAACTGGCAACATTGGAAAAATTTGATGGGATTTGAACGGGTTCTTTAGAAATTGTCGGGAGGCTAAAAGTGAAATTGATTCTTAGTTCTTCTTGAGGGTCAGCGTCAGCCAGACGGTTTGGGGTTTCGAGTTTTTCAATTCGAGATTCCAATCTGTTTATCTGAAAAGCAGAACTTTCAACCTAAAAGTTTCAGAAGCAAAATCTATTTCGATGATCTTACCAACTCGTTACTGGTTCCAATATTCAGATGCATCACATAAATCGATAGTAAGAAAACGGCCATTTGGATGGCAAAGATCACAACGAAGATAGTTACAGCATGATAGAGTTTGAGTTGACGTTCCATTCTTTGATTTCTAGAATCAGCTAGAAATGGTAATTCTCAAAAGGAAAAAAGTTATACCTAGTTTCAGCGATTTCCAGACTACGCTGGCTGGGAAAATGATAGTAGTCGTTGACAAGATCAGTTGAATCGCATGGGTGGGTAGGAACTAGTCGGGATGTTCCAGTTCCCATTTTGGTAGCTAGAAATTTGGAAATTTGAGGGTTATAAAATGTGCACTTATACAGCGTGGCGCACAATTACACGGACTCAAGTTTGTACTAGTATGAAATTTGAGTGAAGCGTTGTACTTGGCTCAAATTTTCATAGCGAAATTTTTAACAATTCATCAGTAAACTGACCAAGTTACAAAATATTTGACTAATTTTGAGCTGAGTTATCGCTTGTCAAAGTTGCTTCAACTCATGAAAATCACGATGGCATCTTTGGACGATCATAAGACCAACTAGACCTGAGGAATCGCTTTGTAAATTTCAGTAACTTTGAATCAAACGTAAAATTACATTTCTAACAATTTTTGTGCTTCCAATTCCAAGATACTCATGTCAAAGAATATACCCGTTTTTATAAGTCTGGGTAATTGTGCGCCAACCTGTATAGTTCAAAAAAGGTATTCTTTAATCATAGATTAATCGAACATTGCTCATTTAAGAAAAGTATAATGCACTGAATATTTAACTGCATTTATGCATCATTTTAAAAGAAGAAAAAATAACAAAAAGTCGCGAGGAGTCTCCTTGAATTCACCACGGAGCATGACGGCTTGGTTTCTGTCTCCGTCTCTTCCAACTGCACACTATTTCCACAAGGCCCATTTCCGACAACGAGGGTCCGCTAGGGGGGACTTTGCATTTATTCGCAATGGAGCTTCCCGAAAAAAAGATGCAAAAAGGCTTTTTCAATTTTCTCCACAAAAAGAATTGAAAGGAGAGAGCCCATCAATGAAACGGTCAATCGCCCCAAATAATAGGATTTGAAATTGAAATTTTTGTGGAAAAAGAAAATGGGATGAATGTTCGAAAATGGAGGCAGGGCATTTTGGGCAAAAGATCTTTTGGAAATGAGAGGAAAATTGAGAAATGAAGAAGGTTCGTAGGGAAAAATGTGTAGTTTGAGCACAGCTTCGGATTTTTGATGAATGAACGCAGACTTTTTAAGGAAAATTTTGGCTATTTATAATGGGGAAGGTATTTTCTGTTTCAATAAGTATTAATCTATCAAGGTTTTCATGTTCTGTGATTTCAGATCCGTTCTGAACTTCAAATATAAATTCATTAAATCGTTAGTAACTCACCAAACACATTCACATATCATATTTTGAAAACTTCAAAAATTTTCAAATTTTCAAAACTTTTAGAAAGGAGCCAAATAATCATTTTCAAAAAATATCTGACTTACAGATCCGACATCATCTACGCGATCAGATCCGACGAATCCGACATGGAACCGATCCCCTCTCTGCTTCCGACCAGAAGTCAAAACTCAAAATTCGAGAAACTTCATTTCTTGAAAAACATCAGAAATCACAAGTGTCCTAATTACAATCATGAAACAAACAAAAGAATAGCTTTCAATGTACCTGACAATAAGTATGTACCTGAGAAAAATATAATAAAATGACAATAAAAAGAAAATATCATCGACCATTCCGTCTAAGTTCATTAGAACGGAATGCAGAAAAGCAGTATCCTAGTAGCACCCACACAATAACACATGTTATGAAATAGCAAATATTTCCCAAAAATATGCTGTTATTATCATTGATACATTCCTGACAACATTCGGGACACTCGGCGCAGCAATTGTTTTCATAGAGTACGGTACAGTTTTAATCCGCCTAAAATTGAGAATTTGTATTCAGTACAGACTCGAATTCAACTTGGGCAGGGTAGGCAGTAGTTGTCACTTGGATGCTCTGAAAAAAATACGAAGATAATTGTATAGATTATATTGTCGCTTACCAATAAGATCTGTCAGATGAAAGTCAGGACATCATCACACAAGAGCTAACTTTCCTAGGCTCACGTGGAAGATATCAAAATGATAAAAAAAATTATCAGTTGACAACATTCTCATGTATCTTTGACAGGGACAGAGAAAACTTAGCTCAAAGTTAAAAGTGAGGAAGCTCTTCCATTACAGGTTTTACGAGAAACTTGAAAACTGAAAAATCAACTCACCACTACATCATATCTTATTGGAGCCTCACTCGGAATTGTCCCATGCCATTCAGAATGTTGATATGATACAGAAATAGGCTTGATATGCTTTGCCAAATTGATCGTGAGTACTGGATTCTTATCAAATGTGCACCATGCTTTATCCTCTGGTGGTTGAGGACGATCAAGTAAAACAAGATTAGTTTGATCATATCCAATTAGTGGTTTCAAATTTGACCTGTTAGAATAATCCATATCCACAGATGCTCTTTTTAGGAAATCAGCCGCATTGAACCGATATCGTTCGTTGGAAATTGTTTTTGATTTGGATTTCTTCTTTTGCGGAACGGTCGGACCTATCGAATCCTGTCTTGGAAATTACATGTTCTTCCCAAACGACTCTACTATCTTTCCATATAATCAAATTCAGACTGCAGTGAATTTTCCTGAATGCAATAATCATTTAAATGATAATTTATGTGCCTAACTCACCATTTCTAAAACCCGATCGTTTTGATTGGATATAGTTTGTAACCTGTAGATAATCAAAGTCAGAGAAATGAAAAAGAAGATTTCAAGAATCATCAGTTGACGGATTTGGATGTTAAACAAAGTTGCAGGCCACAAGCGAGTATTAATGGTTCCCATTCGTCGCAATCGATATCAAGACAAGCCTGAAAATGTTCAGATACCATGAAATCTGCAATAGAAGACTGATACCTGATACCTGGAAAAATCGAGTGGCATTCAATTGTTTTTAGAAATCCAAACTGCTTACCATAATGGTGGTTTTTATATTGGGTTCTTCAGTATAAAATTTGTTTCTCCCATGAAAAGAATTGGGAGAAATCTCATCAAAGACATAACTTGATTCTTAATTCGTTCTATGTGTAGTTAGAATCATGTTTGCTTTTTTAAATTGACAGTCAGCAAAATCAGAACATAGATAATATCAGAAATCGGTACTACAAACAGAGAAAGAAATGAAGCAGAAGGTAACAAAAAATTATTTTCTTTGTCTGCGTCTCAAAACGGTCCCTGATTCAACACTCGACTTTGAGTGGAATACGCATAAAGTTGGCGACGGGGCTCCCGCATTCACGCGGGAGCCCCTCGCCCCCGCCCCGTGAGAGCAGTGATTCACCCCTGCCTGCCCGTAAAAAAATCTTATGTTGAAATTTTCTTGCGATTCAGGGTACCTAACTAGACAAGACCTGAAAATTTTAAGCCATTTGGTTCATTCAGTTACGCATAATTGAGGAATTTGAGTTATTATCCGGGGTGAGGATCGCCCGATTCACGTAGCCAACTCTAGGTACGCGTTTTATGCTCTCTTCAGAAGCAGTACAATTTAAGAACAGAACCTGACATAACAATTCAATATTTTTGTATTACAGTTACATTTTTGGGGATCTTCTCTTTCAGCTACATATATCGATGTTTTAACAGTAAACTAGGAAGAAGTTAACGATTTTGTTCCTAATGTATATTTTACTTTTTTTTGATATTAGAGTAAATTCATTCATTGAACAAATTGAGGAATTACTATATTATTATAACATGAAGAGGAACAAGAAAAATGGTGTAAAAAGTCAGTACACAGAAAAAGCTCTGAAATGATTAGAGGGTAGTTATATAATCATTAATTAATCCGTTCGCTCAGGAATCAGGGAATCAATATTGAAAACAATTTTAGATCTCACAACTTTTTAGTGAGGGGCATAAGGCAAAAATTACAATAGCAATGTAGGCAGCATGTTTGAAAATGTTAGTCACCGAATTGTCAGAAGATTCTCAGAACCATTATGAAATACCTCCCTTTTAAGCGACAGACATAAGAATAGCAAACACACCAAAGATCATAAATATTAATATTGCGGAAGAAAAAATGAATAAAAGAGTTTCTCCGTTATAATCAGATATCAAACATTCCTGACAACATTCGGGACACTCGGAACAGCGATCATTTTCGTAGAGAACAGTACAGCTCTTTTTCCTCTAAAAATACAATTTGTGTTCATTTGAAAATTGAGTTCAACTTACCAAAAAGTATGTGGAGTAGCTGTTGTGATAAAGCTGTTTGAAATCCGCACAAAGTTTTTCACTTTCTCTATTCTTCTCATTGATTTTTGCAGGTGTCGTCGTCATTCCATAAACACGAACCAAATTAACACAAGTCATTTTGGTGTCTCCATAATTTTCACGGAATCGAAATTGAACTGTTCGAATCAGAGGAACGTTCAGAAGATGAATATTGCACACCTGTTCTATTTCGTTCGATTTATTTTGACTATATTTACAGTTTGATACTAATGGTCTCCATGATTTGCAGTAGTAATCAAAACAAGCCTGAAAATATTATGTTATTTTGAAAAGTGAATGAATACACTCACCACCACATCATATGTTTTTGGAGCCCCATTTGGAATTGTTCCATGCCATTTAGAATGTTGGTTCGATAAACTCGACCAAATTAATAGTGAGCACTGAATTCTCATCATTTGTGCACAATGGTTTATCTGCTGGTGGTTGAAGACGATCAAGTAAAACAAGATTAGTTTGATCATATCCAATTATCGGATTCAAATTTGAACTAGACGATCGAGCACTGTCCACAGATGCTCCTTTTAGAAAATCAGCTGCATTGAATCGATACTGTATCGATACCTATAATCAATGATTCTTCAAACGAAATCAAATTTTCAAAGAAAATGAAATAGCAATTGATAGCGTACGCTGAGCTTTCTGGCAGCAAAGGATCTACTGGAACACTCCGACTTGCGACTTCAAATCTTCGACTTTCAAAGCTTTCACTTCCTGATAACTTTTCACAAATATTTTTCTTTTTTTATCGAATTTTTGTCTTGAACTTCTGAACTCTTTTTGCTTTGTTGCTGGTTCATTGGATTCCACTATTACAATTTTCAGACAGTCCTATCTTTGAAGGCTCCAATTTCTGTTTTATTGAGTTTCTCTATTTTCAGTGACGAATTCGAATACCGAACTTACCTATTTCTGAAGTTTTAATAGCAAATTTGATCAAAGTTCAAAAAAGTAAATTCTTGCAAAACTGTTAATATAATCGCCAGCACAAATTTCTGGAACATCTATTATAGAACCACATAAACATCCAATCCCTCTCTCTCTCTCCTCCTGCTGCTCTATCATAAGAGAGGTCCTCCATAATCTTTCAGGAAACGCCCGATCGAGAAGAATGTAGATTATGACTAACATTGACCATCTTCCGACAAACGGATTTTTTCGTGTTTCTTACCTCTTTGTTGTTCAATTTTTCATCTGAATCTCACTAACATTTGACGTAACGCTTTTCAACGAACGGTTTAAATATGGTTTAGATCCTACCTAAAACCGATTTCCCTTGCTTCCGAGTAGAAATTTAAACTGGCCCACGATCCAAGGGTACATCGAAAAAGGGTACATCGAGGGTACATCGAGTTCTTAGGGTACATTGGTTCTGAGGGTACATGGGATCTTAGACTGTAAGGCGTTTTAGCCAGCCTATAATTTTGAGCAGAAATCAAAACAGTATGTATAAAAATATTGATTTACTTTTTTTGTCCACCTACATGTACCGAACAATCCAATGTACCCTTGGAACCAATGTACCCTTTTTCGATGTACCCTTGGATACTTGGCCATTTAAACTCGAGATTGGAGTAAATTCATTTGTTGAGAAAATTTAGAAATTACTCTTATTCTAATTAAAAACATGAAAAAAATCGAGGAAACATCTGAAAATGAAATTATCTTTCAACGCGAGAACAACAATACTGCTTTTCGTCGAGTTTTCTAATTTTTCTTCACAAAAAAGGCGGGAAATACACATTTTGATTGTGAAAAATAGACTGAAAACGCAATAAAACCAAGAAAACAATTCCTCAAAATAAACATATTTTCAGGTTAATGTAGTTATCGATGTGAGGCCTACTCTTCCTTTTTTACTGAACATCAAGATCACTGTTACTGTATCCGATATTTATCCTTGCTTTCTGATTTCCCCTCTTATCCCTTGCAAAACTCCTCGTTTGTAAAAGATCAAAGTTTATTTTGAGCCAATATATCATATAACGGAATTTCGAAAATTAAGTACATGTACATTTAATAAATAGACCTCGGAATACAGAGACAAAGTACAATGAAAAGAAAAAATATACCTACCCTTATTTGCTGCAGCTTGCAGGCGTTTTTCATATCCGTGTTGAATTTCGAAACGACATAAAATCATAGTATAAGAAGGAAAAAAAAATGTACAACTGTGAGATGGAACCTGCCATTGCTCAGGAAAAGTGAGAAAATTGATTACAATGGTATGGTGTGAAACTAGAGCTAGAAAGTGGTTAATTAGATATGCACAATTGATGGAGAAGCGGTTGAAGCGCCTGTTGACACTCTTTTTTATAGGACTTTTGTCGTTTGAAAGTGCGGACGAATTCTTCGAACATCTGACGTCCCATGTGTGGAATGCACTGGAAGGCGTCGTAGGCGCCACGCACAAAATCGACGAGTTGAAGTTCGAACTGAAAGAAAAAAGTAGAGAATTGTTGGAAAAAAGGAAAAAGAGTTTACCTCATTGCTGCTAACAGTATTAGAATGGGGGCTGTTCATTTTGTTACAGATTGCTTGCAAATACTGCTCTATGCACCGTTCGAATAACTCTCCAGTAACTTCTTGATATCCACATTGAATCATCTGATTCGTGATAGTTCCCGCGCTACAGAATCGCACGTTGGGATATCGAACGTTGGCAGTGCTTCTGTTGTTGTTATAATTTGAGGGGAAGTTCTGAGGAATCAATGGAACCGGTCCGCTTGGTCGTTGGCTTTGCTGCATGAACATTTGAGAGATGTGAGGGAAATGGCTAAAAATAATTTTTAGTGAAAATCCTTGTTTTCATGAGTTACCTGACACTCTCCTTGGCATAATGATGAAGAACATAAGGGGAAAGAAGGGTTTTGGCTGCGTGGAAATAGAACATTCTGAGATATTCAGTACCGAGCTGCAGAGAAAGATAGTGCAGGGCTGAGACTTCTTCCGAATAGGGTGGGCTCTGAAATTTTAAAATTCGCTAAAACCTGGGTATCGTACATACTCTTGTAAACTTCAAATAGAGCTGCCGATCTTCTCCAGGCGACGAAATCAGACACTCCATCGCTCGCATTCCGTAATGCCACGCATTCAGAAGAGCGTTGCCCTGAACTGGCGGTGGAACCATGAACTGATGGTTAGCTTGTTGCGGAGGCTGAGCTGGCGGCGGTCCATTGTCCTCGTTGGCGACAAGTTGAGGAGCCGATCGGCTCTGCGGGAATCTTGCAAAAGCTGCTTCGTGTCTGTAACTAGTCGGGGCTAGAGCAGCGATTTGGTCGGATACATACACTTGAGGATATAGCCATGCAACCTGTTGAAGTGGCGGGTTGAACTGATTACGGGTCGGTGGCGTGGGTCGAAGTCGTTGTTGTTGCTGTTGATTGTTTTGTTGTTGTTGGATTAGCGCCGGGTTCTGAAACAAGACTATATTGAAAATTTCCGAGAACTAAATTTACCGCAAATGGATTTGGTACCATTCCTGGAGGGATTGAAGCTTGTTGCTGCTGCTGTTGCCTCTCTTCTGCATAACTCAACTCATGCCAGTGCTGCATAGCTTCCCATAAACATCTAGATCTTGCGATCTCTCGGAAATGCGGAGTATCCATAGCCAACAGCGCAGCGATCGACATATCCCTACTATCAGCCTGACACTTTTTCAGCGCATGAATCACCTCGTCATCCGTTAAAGCGTGCGCGAATGGAAGCACGGAAAGTGACAATCGAGCCGCTTCATGTCGCATAGCAGGATCCGATGATGGTGCGACCTTATCGGAGCATTGGCATATTTCGGTTGGCGTGAAATGAGCCATCCAAATTTCGCGAATCATCTCGAGAACACTCGCACCAATGTCGTCTATCTGTGTTGTGATCCAGCTCGAAATCGTACTATATGTTCGCGTATTCCAGCTTGGAGATATTCGATTGCTCATTCCAAGAGCGTATATTGAAATAGCGATCGCACACAAATGAAGACGTCTGTTTGTTCCAACCAAATTGTGTCCTCCCCATACGGAATTATTTTGAGTTCCGCCAGCTTCGAAGAGAATCTTCTTCGAGAGCTCTTGCATGTGATAGACTGCAGCGTCAGTGACAGTGTTCCCTGGATCGAAGGATAACGATCTACAACTTCGTTTCTTCTTTTGGCCCTTCCTTGGTGATGAGCTCTTGACTCCGCCACTCGTTCCAGGCACATTTGGGTCATCCAAATCAACAGATTCGCCAGATTGGCTTGAAGATTCCTTGTTATTACAAACAGAGAACTCGCTGGACGATGAGCTTCTCACGCCATCGTCAGTCGATCTTTTTCTGCCTCTGAAAATGAAAAAGTTCATAAAAAATGGTAGACTTCTGAAAATTCATACATTGGCGCCGGCGGGGGACCGTCAGAAATTTTCAATCGAACTAGCTCCGCTTCAATCTGCGCTTGATAATCTGCCAGTGTGTCATCTGGATTCTCCTGCTCCACTTCAACATTATCCTTGTATGGGAACACTGGTCGTTGACCTCGTTTGAATCTCTTCACATATTCTGGACACCGCTCCAAAAAGTACGCAGCGTTAGAGAGGTGATGTCTGAATGATAAAAACATGAATAAGTGCTTGAGCGAAATAAAAAACTCACTGATACATTCGATGAAGCTTTGGGTCGAGAATCTGATCGAGAACCAACGCACATCTCTCTTGAGAATCCTTGTATCGTACCAGCAGCATCGAAGTCAGCTCACTCTTCTCTCTTCGTACAGTTTCCCAGTGCAAATGATATCTTTCAGTGAACAAAGGCCGACAGCCAATAATGTGCAGTGAGATGTGTAGCGCCAAATCGGAGTCGGATGATATTAGAAGACGTCGATTGGCCTGCAGGGCTGGCGAAACAGTTGTAGCGTTTTGAGGAGGCACTCGCGAGCTGCTGAGGGATTCAGTCCAATAGAGAGCCAGGAACAAGAACTTGGTGAAGGCGATTGGAGGAAGTTCGCCGTTGTTTCCGGCGTCCATCTCAATAATTTTCTCCGCTCTCGACCGAACTCGATGCACGTGAGAAGCTGTCATTTGAACAGACTGCCATAATTGCTCCAGAATTGCGACGAACTCAGTCTCCAGATAGGTGTACATCATTTGATGAGTTTGAGTATACAGTGGCCATTTGGTGATTTCCAACGTCCGCATGCATACATCAAAAACAGTATGTTGAAGGTTTGGACTATCCTTGAGAACCTTTGTGATATACAGAATTTTCTCCATTGTAGCCAAGAATCGAGCTCCTCTCGTCACCTCTTCTTCTCTATCCGCTCCCGTAACCTCATCAGAAACATTTGAAGATGATGATGAAGACGTTGACTGTTTCGACGTACTCGGCCCTTCGTCGTCATCGAACTTCCGGAACTCAGCTGCTTGTTCCGAAAAACTGTCAATCAAATACTCGATGACTTTCAATGAATGCTCCACGGCATCAGCTCTATATCCATGAGTTCCATAAGCCTCAACTCGCAAAAACTTGGCTTCGAGAGTATCGAGTGGGGTGAAAGCCGCAGCGAGAACTTCATTGACATCCATCTCCACGAAATCTCCTTTCCTTTTCTTGCTCAATACCGAATTGCCTCTTTGCACATCACTTTCCTGTCCTGATTCCGTACTGTCATTCAGTGGAGGTTTTGTTTCTTGTCCTTCTTCGACAACTCTCCAAACTCCGTCGACACCTCTGAACTCTTCCGGTCTGACTGGTTCGTCTTCTGTTCTTTTCCGCGTTACCGTCTGTTGCCTCTTCTTCTTTTTTTTCTTCTTCAGAGTCTTCTCACGAAGAACCGGTACCATTTTGTAGACGACAGTGAGATTGGGCTCAGGCACACTGAAGATGGCGTCTTCGGCAACGCCAAACCGGATGTTCTGTTCGTTCATAAAGTGACACATTTGAATCGCTGGATGGAACCCGGGGAAACAGTTCAAATTGAATCTCATGTTCATCGCTGATAACGGATATCTGATGTCAGCATTCATTATTGTCTGCAGGATACTTGCCGTTTTGTGATTGCTGAGAACAGTCAGGTCCTTTGTCGGTATGGCTTCGTTTGTAATTGGAGGTGCCGCTGTGATCATATTCTTCAATCGTGTTACAGCAGTTTGATGGTATGCTTGAAGATATGCTGCCAACTGCGATCTGTACTCTTTTCCAGCTCTCGGATTCATTGCAGCCAGTCGCCACAGCATAACAAGCTCATCGCATAGTTGAGCACAATGAATTTGAGCCATGAATTGACAGTCCGGGGCTTTGAAACAAGTCGTTTGAGTCCAATTCGCAGAGTGTGTGAGCTTGGTAATGTACCACCAGAGGAGAACTTGACTGTTTGATAAGCATTCGTCAGTGACAGTTCTCAACAGGGCTACCGAGTTGTCGTCATTTCTTGCGAACATCTCTCGAACCATCTGCAGCAGATTCCAGAGCCCTTCTGGCTCTCTACATCGTAACGGCTTGATTCTTGAAGTCCATTCCACATGCGTCGGGTGTTGACTTGTTGCAAGATACTGTACATCACAATGAACCGCAGGCGCTGGCACGCAATACTTGATTAGTAACCGGCGGATTTTGCTCTCGATTTCTGGAAAATCGTATCGCGAAATTGGCTCGTGACCTCCATCTGTTGGATCCGGAGCTCCAGGAAGAAGGTTGATCATCGAAGTCTTGTCCTTTATTTGGTCAATCAATTTTTGGAATCCAGGAATACACTTTCTGGGGATATCGTTGATGTGCCACTGGACCAGCTTTCGAAGATCTTTGTCACTCATTGAGTTGATCGCGTCTGCTATTGTCTCTCTGGAAAATTGATAATTTTATCAATTCACATTTTACTGATATCAGGGATAACTTACTTAAACTTGATCTGACTTCTCTCTGATATCCGATAAATGCATAATGCAACCACATGTTTACACCAGCTAGACCGGATCGAGCATTCACAAGTGCACTCCACGATACGACATCTGTCTACTTTGACTGTCACATGATAAATTTCTTTCTCCTTTTCCCCGAATACATTCGTGTTATCTTGTGGAACACTGTAGATATCTCCACTGAGCAGGAAACCAGTTTGTGAGACATCGCGAACATTTCCCCAGTGGTACAACATCTTTCCGTACTCATATTGATCAGCCGAGCCGTTTGCGAGGCAGCTGAAACATTGAAATTATTGATTTTTCCTGATTAAATTTGCGCTTTTCCTACCTGTACATTCGAATCTCATCTGTGGATTGTGGAAAGCAATGAACTATGAATGACACAAAAATCTTCTCAGGGATTGGTCCGATTGGTGGCGGTTGTTCCATTTGCATAGCTCTTGTTTCACAAATGTGTCTGTACATATCTTCTAACTGTTGAAACGACCACTTCTCTGCACAAATTTTCGCTGCGATCTCGGAGAGGGTCAGAAGAATTCCTGTTGGATTATCTCCTCGAAGCATCATTGGATGATGAGCCAATGGATTATTTGGGTCTCCTCCTGCCACCACTGTTCGTGTAGAAGCCGACGAAAACCGTCCGGAAGCATTGTGATATTGGTAAACGACGCACGAGAGACCGGGTTGGATGGCTTCTCCAACAGTATTACAGTCAGCCCATCCACGCCAATTGTGCTGGTTTTCATCAAGTGAGTCGTCTAGAGACCCTTGGGAGTCTTCTTCAAACCGTTCAGAATCTTCAAATGAAACATCGTCTCGACCTCCTTCCCATCTACGATTGCCATACGGCTGCATCTGCTGCATGGTAGCAGTTGTAAGCAGATGGTGCCTTGGACCGATGGAAACAGTTTCGACAGTGAGTCTGGAATAAAGCCAAGAATTTACGAGTCATATACAAGAATAGAAGAAAAATGAATATAGCTATTTGACTGCAATTATTGAAAAAAGAAACTGGAGCAGCAAAAAATGTTCGAAGTTGACAGAGCAATAGAAATAATGTCCTTTTTAGGATTTTTGCGATGGAAATGACAGGGAAATCGAAAAAGAGTTTTTAAAAAAGTTGAGAATTCAGAGAAAATTAATGGGGTTATTCACCAAAATGTAGAAAAATTCGGAGAAATGGAGAAAATTTCGCAAAACCGCGGGGAATGAACCAATCTCGCTGAAATTTCGGAGAAAATTATAGAGAGCATATTCACAAAATTTGGGGTCAAAATATCCACTTTGACCATTTTGTCTGAAATTCCAGCCAAAATATCAAAATTAATTTTGCGACCCCAAATTTTGTGAATATGCTCTCTATAATTTTCTTCGATTTTCTCCGAAATTTCAGCTAGATTGGTTCATTCTCCGCGGTTTCGCGGAATTTTCTCCATTTCTCCGAATTTTTCTACATGTTCGTGAATAACCCCATAAAAATCTAAAATTGTCCGAGTGGAGTACACGAAGGTCTAAAGTTTACTTTCCCGGTGAGACCTTCAGAAAGATTACTGTAGCTCGTCGATTTACGGGAAACAGTTTTGAAAAAAACAATCCTTCCGGTTTTTTTTCAATCTCGGTCATCTTTCTTCCGCTTTTGATGATTTTTTCCAGTTTAAAAACTTAAAATATTATAGGTTAGATGTTCCAAAAATTGAATGTGAATGAATCGATCTAGAAATGGAATGAAAAATTGAACAATTCAAATTTGAAGAAATTTTAAATTTTGAATGAAGCTGGAGGTTTTCTGGAAAAGTTACGGATTTCAAATGCATAAGAAATTTGTGTATCAAACAAACTTTAACACATAAAAAAGAAACTAAAGATCTGAATTTTTATGATTTATGACCAATTTCCTGTTCGATTATTACTACATAGTAAGGACCTGGATTGTTTAAAAAAACCTTTTTATGCAAAATTCGGAAAGTACTTTTTTCCGCATGCATGAATAGGTTTGAAAACTCATTAGGTGAGCTGAATGGTTGAAAACTGAATGAAAATGGCAAAACAAAGTGAGCATATCAGTGATAAAAGAGTATCATGTCAAGCTAGTTTTTGGTTCGAAAAGTGATGTACGGAAGAGGCACTCTACGTCCTCTTTCTCCTTTTTTCTTCCCCTCCTTTCCTCGTCGCGTCGACGTAAACCTCTGCGTATCTCCGTTCCCCATACATTTTCCGACACCCCAGCCCGTTCCTATCGGTGCCTGGGTGAGCGCAAGTGGCCGAGACAAGGCACCGTGCTGACCAGTCCTCGGTGGGAAAATTCGCTCCATGGACATCCAAACGGCGCCACTTTCAAAATTTGAAATCGGAGTTATCTCGTAGTTTTCTCGAGGAATTTTCCAATTCCTTATGATTTTAGATGGGCTTCTAGATTGGACGTAATCAGACTTTTGAGAAAAATAGACTGTTTAGAAACTAAAATTATAAAAATTCATGCTAGCTTGAACAACTCAGGAACTCAAGGTATTCCGAAACTAGATGAAATACTTCTAACTAGATTAAAGTAGTGTCTCTGAATCGAACGAAAAGCTGGCATCTTCTGTTGTTATTGGGCTAAACCAGCTTATAGCCAAGCGAGCGCGACGACGAAAACAACCAGAAAGGTCTTGTTTTCGTGTTGCTGAAAAAATAGTGGGGACAGGAAAAAAGCCTGGCACGAGAGCCGCCGTTCCTTGCTGCCCGAGTTATTGATCGAGAGAAAACGAGGGGAGCAAATCTTTCAATCTCTTCTGATAAGATTAATGATTCTCAAGGTAAACTGGGGGATGAAAAAGTTAGGGAAAATTTATATGTTCTCGATATTCGTTAAGAAAAAGACGATAATTTGAAAATTGAAATAAATAATTTCAGGGATTTATAGCAAAATGTCGGCGCAAGCAAGTCGTTCGAAGAAGTCGGACCAGGACCAACGGGCCGCTGATCAGGCTCTCCTTAATGTAAAATTCTAATTTTAAAATTCTAAAATTACAATTCTATTCCAGGCAGCCATCGCTGACAATGACATGGAACAGGATGAGAATTTCACAGTGATCGACAAGCTCGAGTCGACAGGAATCAGCTCTGGCGACATTTCGAAACTTAAAGAAGCCGGCTACTATACATACGAGTCGTTGGCGTTCACAACGCGTCGCGAACTGCGAAATGTGAAAGGAATTAGTGATCAGAAAGCCGAGAAAATCATGGTTAGTGGGGGTAGCGAGAAGGACACAGATGATGACAGCTGCAAGGTCAATTTCGCCCCAGACAAATCGAGCAGCTGGGAGAACATGAATAAAATTGAGAAAATAAACATGTAAAAACCTGGTTTTTTTTTCAGAAAGAGGCGATGAAATACGTACAGATGGGCTTCACGACGGGAGCCGAAGTGCACGTAAAACGCAGTCAGCTGGTACAGATAAGGACTGGATCCGCCGCCCTTGACAGACTTTTGGGAGGAGGAATCGAAACGGGAAGTATCACAGAGGTGAGAGTAGGTCAAAAAGAGAAAAAAAGTGGAGAGATAGAGAGAAGAGATATGATACGATCCAATTCGTTTCAGGTGTACGGAGAATACAGAACTGGAAAGACGCAATTATGCCACAGTTTGGCGGTTCTATGCCAATTGCCAATTGATATGGGTGGCGGTGAAGGAAAATGTATGTACATCGATACGAACGCAACGTTCCGACCGGAGAGAATCATCGCCATTGCTCAGAGGTTTGTACCTTGAATAAGGCTGAAATTGGATTTTGAAATAGAGTATTTTTCAGTCGGTTTACTTCCTTTTTGATCATTTTCCAGAGTCTAGATCTCGGCTGTTCCGATCACTTTGAAAAGTTTGAAGGGTATAAAACAGACCTAGATTGAAAACATTGTATTTGCAGAAATTTTCGGAAATTTCTAGCTTACTAGATTTCTGAAAAACACCTTTTTTCGGTCCGTTTCTTTTACTGAAAACAGGCCAAGAAGAGGTGTCTTTCAAAAATCGGAAGAAAGGAGTTTTTCAAAAATTCTGTGAATGCACAGTTTTCCATTTAGGCTTGTTTTACGCCCTTCACAATTTCCAAAGTGATCGGAAACATGGCAGCGGAGGTCCGGACTCTTGAGAATGGCCAAAATAGCCGAAACCGGTACTGTATATTCATTTTCAAGTTATTCCGCTTCAAATCTCTAGTCTTCTGCGAGCTTTTTCACAATCGTAGCTTTCAGATACAACATGGACAGTGCTCATGTCCTCGAGAACATCGCCGTGGCTCGCGCTTACAACTCAGAACATCTGATGGCCCTGATCATCCGAGCCGGCGCAATGATGTCCGAAAGTCGATACGCAGTCGTCATTGTCGACTGTGCTACTGCTCATTTCCGTAACGAGTACACCGGAAGAGGAGATCTCGCTGAGAGACAAATGAAGCTGTCGGCGTTCCTGAAATGTCTTGCCAAGTTAGCCGATGAGTACGGTGTCGCTGTCATCATCACAAATCAAGTGGTTGCTCAAGTCGATGGAGGTGCTTCGATGTTCCAAGCAGATGCTAAGAAACCGATCGGAGGTCATATTATTGCACACATGTCGACAACCAGGTGAATGATAAGATATCGCTTTCTTTGAAAACGTTCTCCTTTTCTTGCAGACTGTACCTACGAAAAGGCAAAGGAGAGAATCGAGTGGCGAAGATGGTGCAATCGCCAAATCTTCCAGAAGCTGAGGCAACCTACTCAATCACCAATCATGGAATCGAGGACGCACGCGAAGACTAGCCGTTCGCTTTCTCGCTTTTTTATCATATGATACTCCCGATAATATCATCATCCCCATTCTTCCTTCTCCCTCCCCTTCACGGATTTATCACACATCATTTTTGGGTCGTTTTCTCTTTCTATCGTATCTTTTTCATTCCTCTTTGTTCTTTACATGTATTATATGGTTTTTTTGTGCATTCGTTCTCCTCCGTTACTTTTTATCTTTGTTTTACCCATCGTATGAAAATCGTATAGTTACTGATTAGAAATTGATAAGTTAAATGGCACTTTTAAGCCTATGATGTCTTATCTCTTCCACTTGTTTTTCTCGGTTTCAAAAACCTGTTTTCCAGAATCTTCGAGCAATGGAGAACGACGACATGGCCAAGAATACTGAGGTAACGTTGTTGCACAACATATTCAAATAACGCATACGTCATTGTTGGGCAGCTGCTGCTGACCTCTGTCACCTTATTGCGCGGTGCTGATCTAGCATATAGTCATTCAAATTGTCTCTTTTAGCTCGCTGTTGAATATGAATGAAACTGAAAGTAGAGAATTGCCACGTGACTAGTTAGAAAATAACCAGTAAAGTTGGTGTCTCGAAATACCGTAAGTCCTGTATTAGAAGAGCCGGTCCTTCTATTGTTCCAAGCTACCTTTGGAGGGCCCTTCTATTACCATTTTTTCCAAACGTCTTCAAAAATTGGTGAATTCTCTTCCAAAATTCATTAGAAATCTGTCAATGAACAAGTTTTTGAGCAAAAAAGTTGTGTTTCAACAAATTTCTGGAATATGTTCACTGAAAACGTGCGGAAATTTTTAATTTCAAGCAACACAATTCGAAGGGGGACATTCTATTACAGGCTGCTCTTCTAATTCAGGTTTTACAGTACATTTGAGAATCTTAAAAAGACAGCTCCAGTCGAATATCGTTTGATTACTTTCACTTTGTTCCATACAATGGCTAGTTGAAACACTCCTCCTCCATTTTTTTTCCATAAAAAAGAACCAAAAACAATTTCACTTCTTCATCTCCTCCCACTAATCTCTGCCCCCGTTCGTTTTGGATCCGCCCGCCTCCTACTGCTTCCAGATTTCTCTATCCTCAATGGCATCGTCGGCCAATCTCTCTTCCTCGACCACCCGCCGTCGGCAACACAAAGCGACCGGTTTCGTGCGCTCATCTCTAAAGCTTAGAGACTATCTCTACAATCCATTTTCTGTAGCAGACCACTGGTCATCTCTTCTTTTTTTTGCCATTTTCTCTTTCTTCTGCGGACATAAAAAACATAGTGGTAATTGATAATGCCTCTTCTTGCCAAAGCTTGCTGCTTCTCGTCCTCGTCGCTTCAGACACAATATGCCCGCCGCGAACACACACTATCACTTTTTTCGATATCCGATATCCAAAAGATGCTTTTGTGGAGTCTGGTCTAATCGTGATCTCCTTTTCCAGATGACGTGCTGCTCATCCAACTCATCACTCTCGGATTTTACGACTCTACCGAGATGTCCAAATCGGGTCGGCTCCATAACGGTCATTCTCGGACCCATGTTCAGTGGAAAGACGTAGGAAAAATCAGAAAATCAGATAATTAAAAAATAAGTAATTTTTCAGCACCGAACTTCTGCGTCTCCACGATCGTCAGATAATCGCCAAAAGGACATGTGTTCTTGTCAAGTATGCCGGGGACACTCGCTATGATGCTGACCTTGTGGCCACACACAGCAAGTGAGGAGCTTCCGAAAGGCTGGAACATATTGCTCAATTTTCAGAATGACCGGGCAAGGACGGACTGTTAAAGCTCATCGACTCGCGGAGGTGGCTTCTCAGATTTTCAGTGACGATGTGCAGGTGGTGTCGATTGACGAGGGGCAATTTGTAAGGATTTAAAAAATGATATGAACAACAAAAGTAAATCAGCTAATTTTCAGTTCGAGGATCTTGCTGAAACTTGCGAGGAGCTGGCTCAACGTGGAAAAGTGGTGTGCGTAGCTGCACTGAACGGCACCTTCGAACGGAAACCGTTCCCTCAGATCTCCCTTCTTCTTCCATACGCCAACGAGATCAAGCAAGTCACCGCTGTGTGCGTAGAGTGCGGAGCACAAGCCAACTTCTCATTCCGAAGCACACTTGATAAGAAGGTCGAGGTGATTGGAGGATCCGAGTCGTACACAGCGCTCTGTCGAGAGTGTTATGTGCTGAAGAGCGAGGAGAAGGACGCTGAGGAGCAGTTGAAGACGGGATGTGATAAGAACGAGAACGATATCACTGGGATTGTTCTGGCGAAGAAGGAGCAGCAAAGGTCTGATGGATCTGTGTCACCACCACGCAAGAAAATCGGTCTTAGCAAATCAATGGCGCTCGACTCGTCCCCAGTTCGGATTTAATTTTTTTTTCAATGTCATTTGCTTGTAACCCTTTTTTCCACACCTGAACTAATTGCTCATCTTGTTTCACTTTTACATTTCTGGTAACTTTTTTCACTTTTCATTTTTTTTTTCTCACTCCCTTCATCAACTTTATACATTGCATTAAAACAAGAACTTCAGATAAAAAACATTTATTGAAAACCCTAGAAATCTTGAGCATCAGTAAACTGAACGACTTGTTGGATCGTTTTGTTGTCCTCCCCGGGTTCCAACTGTGCTTCAAAACCAGGATGCTTTGGTCGTTCATGCTCTGGAGGTGGCTTGTATTCCTGCTCAGGGGGCGGAGCTTGATTTTGATTAACTGGTTGCGTTGGAGTCAACGTCAGATTCTCCTCTTTTTTCGGTGATGGCGGTTTTTGTTCGTCCTCGGTTTTAGTTTTCTGAAAAATAGTGAAATTCAATTGGCACCGAGCCAATTTTGGACAAACGGCGTAGCGGTCGGCAGCTGGACAGGGGACTTAAAAAAGCTCAAATTGTTATAATTTCCAACTTTTATTATGAAAATGTAAAAAATTTTTGTAAAGTGCAACGATGCGAAAAATAAAAATTTTTAGATTTGAAATTGGCTCCGCGACGTTTCGAAAGTGTGACTTTTCGCAAATGCGACGTTTCTGTGCAAAAAGTCGCAAAGCTGTTACTTTTGGAACGTCGAACTTTCGAATCGTCACACTTTCAAAGCGTCTGCTTTCGAAACATCGCGGAGCCGGAAAATCATTTAAAAGTTCTGAGAAATTTGAATTTTTAACGACCCAAAGCTTCGCCACGTAACTTTCTCAATAAAGCGCAACAGGGGACCACAGAATTTCAAACCCTGTGAACGTTTCGAGCCCCCGGACCTTATCATTTTCTTCCGTCTTCGTTTTCTGCGATTTTCTCTTCGACTCATCGCCCATTTTCGTGTCTGTCTGCATCAGCGTGTCCACAGTTTTCTTGGCTTTTTTCGACTTCTTCGACTTCTTATCATCATCATTAACATTCGATATTGATTCCTCAGTTTGCGGATTTTTTTCAGCCTTCCCTCCTTTCTTATTTTTCTTATTTTTCTCCTGCTTCGAAACTTGACTCTTCGAAGCTGCAGACGTCGTCAGCGTTTTCTTCTTTCCTGAACATCTCAGTTTTTTTTCGAAAAAACAATATTTATTATTTAACCTTTTTTCCCTTTGCCACACTGATTGAAGATGACTGGTGCCATGAGAAGAACGGTAAGAAACATGCCAAACACCGGGAAATTCACTGAAATTACAGTAATCTTATCTAGTTTAAACTATTCCTGTCTTCCCTGACAAGATCTAGATCTCTACCCAAAAATTTTCTTTACACATTTCAGAGCGGCATCTATAGAACAAAATGTTTCTCCAGGTTTTTCGAAAATTCCAATGGAAGGGAGACAAGATCAGATTCTAGAGTTTTTCGAGGGACGGGCGAAATTTCAAGTTTTTAGGAAAAGCGAAGCAAAAAGGGAAGGAAGAGAAGGAGAATGGCAGAGATCAGTCACCAGAAAAACATTTTGATCCCACTTTCGATATAATTCGGGAAGGGGAATATGAAACAGGTTTTCAAGCTTCCGGTGGCCTAGAATTCCCAAGAAGCGGCTCACCATCGGATAACCTGTCGCACATCCAAAAAACCATTGAATTTTTGAAGAGTCCGCACTTTCCAAATGTTAAAAAACTGCTTTCTGAGAATTGATGAAGCAAAATAATTGGGAAAGATAAAAATATAGAAAACAGAGAACACGTACAGTAACCAACCAAAAGTTCATTAATTTAACCTATTAAAATCGGCAACTTTGATGTACAAGACTGAAAATTTCCAGATCTACTAGACAAAAACAGGGCTTTAATTTTGTAATTGACAACTTTTTTGTAAAATCTCATCCAAATGAGATGAACACCCTGAGAGATGCTTCTGGAAAAATTTGGCATTGGGTCGACATTAAGCGGTTTATCTCATTTGGATGAATTTGTACAAGAAAATTGTCAACTAGAAAATTGAAGCTCTATATTTGTTTAGTAGTCCCGGAAATTTTCAATCTTTTTTAACAAAATCCGCTATATCTTGTAGACATCCAAACTTTACCCTATTCAATAAATGGTGACGGACAATTGTCCGGACTGGAATATCTTTGGACACAAGTATCTTGGAAGCACAAAAATTGATGGAAATATAATTTCATGTTTGATTCAAAACTACCAAAACTTTCAAAGCAATTCCTCAAGTCTAGGTATTGTTATGATTGTTCAAAGATTAACGGCGTAATGTGATTTTCATGAGATGGAGCAACTTTGATAAGCAATAGCTCAGCTACAAGTTGATCAATAATTTGAAACTTGGCTAGTTTACTGATATAGCTTTTAACTTTTTGCCCTCCAAATTTGAGCCCAATACAACTCTTTACCCAAGTTTTAAGCTAATATAAACTGAGTCCGAATAATTCTGCACCACCTTGTAAACATATAAAAATAATAAGTTCTTGTCCGGTTTTGTGGCATTGTTAGGGTTCCGAAAAAATACATAAAAATATTGGAATGATTTAAAAAACTTGCCGTGGTTAGTTATTGAAATGCCTAATAATGAAAGCTTATGAAAAAGAGCTTCATGGATTTCCAAAGTCTGAAAAACTTCCAGAAATCTAGAACTCGGTTCACATTACCTAGTCTCAAAAATTGCAGTGCCCTAAGAATGTATGGAAAATTGGAATTCGAAATTTCGGTAAATCAGTAAAATGAATTTTAGACGGATTTATTTTTCACAAAAAAAAAATAATGGAGCACATTGTAAAAAAAAGAGATCACTGTAATCGAAATCATCATTCTGTCGCCTCTTGTTGTTCTATCATCTTCTCCCATACATCATTCCCATATACGGATTCATCATTCCACTCATCATTCGTCGTCGTCCCCATAGCGCACCGTCACCATTAGATCCAACTCCATTGACGCCATATTGGGGGCCTCCGCTACCATACTGTGCGCCAATGATTCCCATACCACCACCGTTCAGTGGTACTCCATTAAAGGCCCCTGGAAATGGGAGGATTGTAGAATACAGGAAAACTGTGGTGGACAGTCGACGACCGCCAACCGACCGCCGACCGACTGACCGCCCATCAGCTGGGTCGGCGGTCGGCCTTTATGTCTCTAAACTTACATTGAGCACTTGCCACGTGGAGCACAGCGAGAAGAGTCACAAGAATAACAAGAAGACACCTCATTTGGAATTATATATATTCACCCAATTAATGGCATCCAAGGGTTAGCCTGAAAAGTTTGACAAGATGAAAGATGAAGAGAAAAAAATGAAGTCAAAAATAAATAATTCGAAGATGGATGATTTTAAAATGTTCTGAGAAAAATTTAAACTTTTTGGCTCTCATGAAGTTAATCCAAAGCGAATTTCCGGTTGCTAATTTTTGAAAATATGAAAATATGAGACGTCACCAAAATTTTCAACGTCTTCTAAAATGGAAACATATGACACTGGGGTCATAGTTGAATAGGCTCAAGCGTAACGACTACTAATCTGACGTATTCTAGGCGACGTCTTCAGAATGCTTCAAGGAGACTTTTTAGAAATTTGTGAGTAATCGAATCAAAGTCATATTTTTAAGGAGGAGTGGTAGAAAACCAAAAATGAATTTGTGAATGTTTTTTAGGGGAAAAAAGGATTAGAGGGGGATACTAAATTAAATATTTATAGAAATTTTTTACGGAAGACATAGATTTTGAAGTATTTTTTTTGTTTTTGGGATTTCGAAATTGTAGTAGTCTAGCTAACAATATTCAGATTTTTCTAGATTTTCAGACTCTTAAAAATTTGTTTTTTTCCAAATATTTTTTTGGAATGTTTTCGATATTTAGGAGTATTTTTTCTATTGAATAATTCAAGATAATTCAGAAAATGATTCACAATCTCTTTCGAAAATGAATAACAAGAAGGCGTTCAGAAAGATCAAAGTGGAAGGCGGGGAAGAGTTTCGGGATTCTAGAATATTTTAAATCTGCATAGCTTAGGGTTCTTAAGTTGGTCAGCTGACGGTGTCGGAGACGTGGAACCGGGATGAGCATTTGGAGGACCATCCAAATAGAAATGATGACGAATAAATGGGAAGAACAGGACAATGCCCACACATAAGGTTTCTGAAGTTTCAAAGAATAAAATGCAGGGTGTTGAAAAAATTATGAGGTTCATTTGCTAATTAAAATCAGGGTTACATCATCGGAGTGTATTTCTAGGAGGGGTTTGAAAAATGGAAAGCAGAAGATCTTTAAAATTAAGATTTTTAGAAGTTTTTCGGTAAGAGAGTAGAACAACTTGGACAAGCTTTAGGGTATGAATTGAGCAATCTTTACGACATGACTTTGGCAAGCTTGAGGGCATGGCTTGGACATGGTTTAGAGGCTGACTTGGGCAAGTTGGCAGAGTTCCGATTTGCACCAAATCTGTTTATGATCTTGAATTTTTCATATCAGTGGCTGTGGACAATTTGGTCCTTTTGTTATATTTTTGATCCTATCTTTATATTGACCTATTTTTCATTCCTGGTAAGATGAGAATTTCTCCAGAATTATGCACGTCATTCTTCATAATTATACTCTTTTATTTTTCGAAGAACAACTAAATTCAGTAATTCTGACCTGGCCATTTTGAAAAACAATTGTTATTGCTTTCTAATGGAACTTATCCATATTTTTCTCCTAACCAAATTCATCAAAGTAAAACCTGTAATAGAAGGGCTTTCACTTTCAAATTTGAGCCAATTTTCCTTGGTTCCTGTCGAAGATATGAAAAAAGTTGTCAACTGATAAGTGTTTATCACAAAGTCACCGATATTTTATTAGTTGACACATTCTTAATATTTCGCAAAGGAATCGAGATAATTGAGCTCAAACTTGACAGTATGGGACCCTTCTGTTATAGGTTTTACGGTAAACATATAGTTTTCTATTTCTGTCTTCTTCTTCAATTTCTCATTATTACACCTCCAACTTATCTAGTCTCAGAATCAGATGTTGTCGATTTTGTTCAAAGCATCTATACTTTAAAAAATTATGTCATCCTGTCTTTCAGACAAATCTTGCAATCCTTCGAATTATCTTAAATCCTCTATTTTTAGAACTTTGTGTGTCTGATCTACTGACTGATTCTCTAGACATCGATCTTTTCATCCTGCCTTCAGAATTCGTTTCTTTCGAAGAATTCCGAAGCTTCAAAACCGTTGAAATCACACGGAAAACATGGGCAAACCAGTTCCAGAGAGAAAAGGAAAAAGAAAAGATGGAATACCGAGATTATTTCCGATTTTTGGGTGGAAGAATCTGTCGGAACAAAATAAAGGTTGAATTGGGGAGGAGAAATGCTTCATAGGGGGCGAGAATTCTCAAATGAGCAACAAAAGAAAAGGGATGAAGAGTAGTAATAGGATAAAATGGGCGGGGTTTGGGGGAAATTCGCGGTGGTCCCTTTTTCAGCTGCTGGGTTAGGAATACGTATTCCATTAATATTTGATTTTGGAGCCCAAAATTGAATTACTGCCCTAATTTTTAGGACTTTCTGGAATAAGGAAATCGAATTTATGTTCAGCACCAGATGTTCACCTGGAGCAGAAATCGAAATTCAGAATACGGATATAAGGAAAAAAACAAAGAGTGAAGTTTTATTAATGCAGATTATTACATCGTTCATGAAAAGTTCATTTGTCAAAAATTCCACGATCACTTCTTTCCATACATTCCATAGCCAGCCATCTGTGCCCACATCAGACGACGTTGGAATCGACGGCAACGGATTCCGCAGAAGCCGAAACTATTGTATCCGTATCCGTTACCATATCCGTAGTTACCGTATCCTCCATAGTTGCCATATCCGTAGCTAGGATAGTAAGAATAGGAAGAGTAGGATGGATAGTAGCCGCCACCGTATCCACCATAGCCACCATAACCACCGTAGTTACCGTAGTATGGACTGTAGTAGCCATCTGGAAAATTTCAAGGATTTAACCAATTATATAAAACCAATTTTTAAAGAAACCTTTCTTCCATAAAATGACTGTAGGAGGAAATTTTTCAACTACCATAAATGCTGTATTAGAAGCCCACCCTATACGCGAATTTTGAGCTTAATTATCTCGGTTCCTATAAGAGATATTGGAATTTGTCAACTGATAAAATGTTTTCCCAAAAATTATCAACATTTTATCAGTTGATAGATTTTTGATATCTCTTATAGGAACCGAAATAATTGAGCTCAAAGAGCAAGTATGGGGTGGGCAGTAAAAGTTAACGCCACCTCTATTCTTGCACGTTGAGCTTAATTATCTCACTAGGGAATGACTCACAGAAGATGTGGAGTTATGGGACGAGACCTATATCATTCGAAAGAGGATGAAATTTCATTTTCAAATATATGCTCAGTTTTTGCGGCGGCCTCCGCTAACTCGAGAAATTTGGGTCAGAAGTTTTCAGTAGATTTTGCACTGAAATGCATACGTGAACGCTTCCACGTCCTCATTTCTTTTATACGCTTTGAAGAACCATTGAAAACAGCAGTGGGATGGTTCAGTGGTAAAGCGGCGGGATGGGGAAATGGTACTCTATGGTTCGACTCCTTCATAGTCGAAGCTCTTTTTTTATTTTTTGTTGGTTTTTTATATGACCTCATTGCTCATTGCTCTGCAAACTAATGATCAAACTGATGATTAATTGTTGAAAAAGTTCCACGATTATGTCTCGCTTTTATAGACGGGCGGCGAACGGGCGGCTCACCGCCCGCCCGGATGGAAACCCTACTGGAATAATCCCGCCAAGGATAAAAAAATCGGAAAATTTGAAAAGAGGTGTATGGATCATGAAAACATGCGAATTTTCTTCAGAAATTTTTTTTCCAAAAACTTGGTTAATTTGTATTTGACAAGATGCCAAAGGTGTTTAGAGTATGGAAAACTGCTGAAAACAGCTTTTGAGCTCAAAAACAGGTCATATAAAAAACCAACAAAAAATAAAAAAAGAGTTTCGACTATGAAGGAGTCGAACCATAGAGTACCATTTCCCCATCCCGCCGCTTTACCACTGAACCATCCCACTGCTGTTTTCAATGGTTCTTCAAAGCGTATAAAAGAAATGAGGACGTGGAAGCGTTCACGTATGCATTTCAGTGCAAAATCTACTGAAAACTTCTGACCCAAATTTCTCGAGTTAGCGGAGGCCGCCGCAAAAACTGAGCATATATTTGAAAATGAAATTTCATCCTCTTTCGAATGATATAGGTCTCGTCCCATAACTCCACATCTTCTGTGAGTCATTCCCTAGTCAGTTCCTTTGAAAGATATCAGTATTTTGTCAACTGATGAAATATTGCTCATTTTACGGGCAACATTTTATCAGTTTACAAATTTTTGACATCTTTTTAAGGAACCGAGATAATTGAGCTCGAAGAGGACGTAAAGGGTGGGCTTCCATTGGAGCATTTACGGTTCGTATGTCCAACAACTCTTCAGGATATTGGAAACCTTTTATCACTTTCGCACAATTTTTTTTCGGTTTTTTAATTACCAAAAATAGGTAAACCACACTCTAGTTGATTGGTTTATCAAAGAATTCGTTGTCTTCAGAAAAAAACCAAAAGACCATCTTGTGTTCATCAAAGTACCTACAGATTTGCTGATCACCCCAAAAGTTTCAATTTTGGGTTCCAAAAATCTCATAACATTTTAGAACCCCGTCATTGCCATCTGGTCTCCCCTCTTACTCACACTGAGCATGTGCATCATGAATAAAAAGAGATGCAATAATTAGAATACTGGTCAAAATCACGCGCATGATGTTTCTTCTTTTTCTTCTCGAAAAAGAGATCCGGTCATCTCCTGTATCATCTTTTTTCGCCTTTTTAAATACACGCCGAGAGAACCTATCATCAGCAAAACCAGTACCCACCCTCCATGTGTGTTTTCTTCCTCTTCTTCTTCGTCTTCTGAATCCCATTTCAAATTTTCTTCGCCCAAAAGACATGACATCAAGTTAACACAATTACTTTCTCTTCTCACCCGTGATTCTTTGACCCTCTTTTCTTCCGCAGTTTCTTTTTATGTGACACTAGCAGGAGTAGTAGTAAGATCCCATAAATAGAAAATTTGACGAGCATGTACACTTCATCTCCAGCCTGGACACTCCAGGACAGAAAGAGAAGAAGCATTGTTGGTTTTTGGGAAGGAAATGACGTAATTTGGGAAGAAGTGAGAGAAAAAACCAAAAGGGAACCAAAAAATTTGGTTGAAAGTGTCTGGAGTAGTAGAGCAGACAACAGATGAGAGCCCCCTTTGGATGACCAATAGGGCGCAGGGTCAGCTGACTTTTTTGAAACTAGGCTAGAGCACAATTTGACTGGAAAAAAAGTTATTAGAGTTTTTGGGTTTTCATTTTTTCAAACTTTCCAGTTAAAAGTTTATCCAGGAATAAATTCATGCAAAAATTCAGAAATTGAGAAGTTCTGGAATCCTGAAACTCAGAAACCCCAAAATCCAGAAATCTGAAGTTTCCGAAAACAGAATATCCAGAAATCCAAAAACCAGACATCGAGAAATCTAGAATTCCATTAGAACTGATAATCTACATAACTTGAAAATATTGGAAATTCTTAGAACCAAAAATCCAGAATTCCAAAATTTCAAGATTCCCAAGTCTGCAAATCTAGAAAATTGAAAATGCAGAATACAGAAAATCAGAAATTCCAAAGGAACCCAGAAATTAGTAATAAATTCATAAATTTAGAAATGACATCTATTTACATCTATTTTCAACATAAATTTAGAAACGGGAATCCAAAACTCGAATTTGCTACAAAAAGTAACCGAAATTCCAAAATCCAAGAATCCAGATATCCAGAAAACCACGAATCCAGAAATTCAAGTTTCATAAATTTGAGAACCTAGAATTATGAATATCCAGAAATACAGTGATCCCAAAATCCAGAAATCCCGAAATACAAAAGGCCAGAAATCCGAATCGATAAATTCGGCAATCTAGAAATCCAGTTATCCAGATGTCCAAAAATTGAAGATTCATAAGTTGGAAAATCCATGTCTCCATTGAGACCTGTAAAGTGCCAAATTCAACTTGAAACTCCAAAACCCATGAACTTCAGAAAGCCATTTCAGGAAACCAAACGACCTCATAGAGATGACTCAATTTCAGAAATTCCAGAAATCAGAACACCAAATCCGATATAGACACAAAACTTCCTCTGAACTTTAATTCTCTTTTTTCTAGTTTGATCAGATTAAAGAATCATTATCTGCTATTGTATTGTATTGTATTGTATTTATTACGTAAAAAATATGTGGAAGAATAAAAAGAAAAAAGAATGAAAAAGAGAATAAATAGGCGACATAAAATTGATATTTCTTAACCTAGACATGAATAATAGTGGATAATACCAAATTTTTTTCCGAACTTCTGACAGCAGCAGGCTTTTAGATCCGTTTTGTAGAGCTCATCATTTTACTAAGAACCCTATGTGTGAAGAAGTTTTGTTTAAGTTTAGACTTTGGAGTTTTCCATTGGTAGGTGTGGCGGCTGCGCGTTTTTGTCGCTTCTGACTCCTGACGTCGCTGCTATCGCTTCTGACATGATTCCCGTACTACAGTCCGTACTCTATTTCCTTCTTATTCGCTAAACTGAGTAAAACCATGGATCTCGTTCATTTTGGTTCTTCACCAAATAAACATACTACGTGTGATTTATCTGTTATTCTCGAAGTTTCTATTTCCCTTCGCAAAAAATAGTTGTCTGGGGTTGCACTGAAAACAACATTATTGTTCTTCTGACCAGTCGAATGACGTTGAAACTAATCACATTTTTTACGGAATTGGTTTTCAAGAAACGTAGTTTTTGTAGCAGGCAAACTGTGACCCATTGGAAACTAGATAACCGTGGAAGAAAAAAGCAACTATGACCTATAAAGATATGAAACATCGAATGAATACGAGAGAGACTTCATTTTCCATTGACGCCTACATTTTTGGAGGCAACACAATCAAGAATACAAAAAAAAGCGATCAAATAAATTTATGAGCAGAATGAGGCATCACCTCTATCGATTTGGGCTGAATCGAAAGTGAAAAGAGCCATTCGGACACGATCATAAGACTGCAAATCAACATCGTATCCTGCGTATCCTTGTCCAGATGTCGTTCTCATGTTGACTCCCAACAGTTTGTTCGCATCAAACTTTCTGGAATTAATAAAGATATTTTTCAGTTCCTGGTGGTGAGCGATTTACGTCAAGTCAAGAGTGCAGTTACCAGCGTTAGATGGGTACAAGAATCCGTTCAAATTGTTTCCACAGCTTCCATACCACCAACCCCTGAATAAAACATTTGTAGTAATCAACGAGCAACATGATCTACTCACCCATATGCGTTTGAAGGTCCAATATCTTTGTTATCATCCCAAAATTCGAATTGGTCGCAAGAATCTCTGGAAAGCCATTCTATCTTAAATTTTCAAAGTAAGTGCATTAACTTACTTGCTTTTAGGTCCGTTCCAGTCCGTGTAGGTTGAGAATTTCGCAGCCAAGTCCTTACCTGAAATGGGGCAAATTTTGCAAGAACTTGAAAAAATCATACCTGAGGATGAGTAGTCAAGTCCGACTCCAGCAATATCTGCCTTAGCACTTAGAGCGTAATTATTAGCAGCGGCTCCAACCTGAAATATTTTTTCAATATCATATTTTTGAGTTAAAAAATTAAATTACCTGGAATTTGTGATAAATCTGCTTAGCAATCAATTTCGTTCCACAGCAAAGGTCAATTTGAAGAGTATAATTTTTCACACCACTAATTAAGTACATGTTTTCCAATCCGAACCAATAGTTATTTCCCTTTTCAGGTGTTCCAAATGAAGTAGAATAGTTGGACACATGTGGGTAGTCGAAAGTAATATTTTGGCCAATAGTTCCTCGGCTTTAAATTTATTAATGGTAACTACTGTTGATGTGCATTAAGAGTTCCATGTTCTCGAGAAATTTCTCCGACCGACCGACCGATCTGACCGATCGATCGACCCAGCCGACCGAAACGGAATCCTTATGGAGACTAACCTTTGAATAACTGTGTATCCTCCGTATGATGTCTGGTCACAATATACACGGACTGGATTAACACCATCTGGATAGATGGTTTGAACTCCGGATGTCTTATTGACAACTTCGGAACAATCGATTGGTGGCTTTGGAGCTGAAATAACTCTATTATAATAAAGTTACTTAAAAAAGTTTTACTAGTAGTTGGAGGAAGAGTTGATCCTGTAAATGGAACTCCAGTAGTAGTTGGCTCTGGGGTGCTGGTGGTACTTGGTGGAGCGATGTTTGTGGACCAGGCGATGGAGACGCTGATAAAAGGATAATTGTAGAATTACAAAGAAAAAGTAATAGCTTACGTTGTGGAAAGAGTACCAGGGCGAAGATTGGTGTAAGTGTAGACACCTTGTTCCTGGTTTGTGGAGATGTGGATCACGTAGTCATCAATGAATTTGGTAAAATTACTGTCAGTTGCAAGGGCTATGTGGAGGTCGAAACTCTGAAAATCGAACCAATTTAAAGTTCGGATGCTACTAAAAACGCAGAGGTTTAAAAACTTACACTGAACGATTCTGCCGTACTTGCTTGGTCATCAGAAACAACCAAGTTCAAATTCGAAATCCTTGTTTCCATATGAGAATTGATTGGGCCAGACAACGCTAAAGTATCATTTGATGACACATTTTTACCGGTTCTGGAACATTTTTGCTAGTCACAAGTTATGGTCGAATTATTTCCTTACGCGCTCACAGCGGCCCTCAAATAGACATTACATCCGACTCCCAGAAATCCAAACTCTCCGCATGGCTGACCGTCAAGAAGTGTTCCAGCTGGATTGTCAATTTCCCTAATGAGCACTTTGAAATAGTTTTGGGCAGAGGCAAGAGTCTGAAAACAGTTTGGTTGATTCGTTTGCTCATCGTTAAAATGTCATAAAAACCACTCCCAATGCCTGAATGCTTCTGTAGAGTTTCATGACGGGAAGTGAAAGGAATGGAGTTAGAAAACACTTTTTTGACGCTACAAATGTACAAATGGAGGTTTTGAAATGACTCACCGTGAGTGCAAGGCATGCCAACAAGACGGATGTTTTTAACATCCTTCGAGGCTCCTACAGGATCTGTAATTATTTAAAAATGTATGCCTTTTTCGAAATCAAAAATTCAAATAGAATCAAAGTTTATAAAATGAAGAATACGAATCTACGAACAACAAATAAATTGAGAGTACCGATCTTGTACAGAGTGGTGCATAATTGTCCGTACTCAAATTTTGTACTAGCATAAAACGTGTGTAAAGCATTGCACTGGTCTCAAATTTGGAATGCAAAAATGTAAATAATGCTTCAGTAAACTGGCCAAGTTTCATTCTATGTGATCAACTTTACGCGGAGCTATCGCTTGTCAAAGTTGCTCCATCTCATGAGAACTAGGAAAAATTACGCTGTTCATCTTTAGACATTCATAAAAATACCTAGATTTGAGGAACCCTTTTGAAAATTTCAGAAGGTTTGAATCAAAAGAAAAATTATATTTCTACCAATTTTCGTGCGTCCAAGATACCAATGTCTAAAGATATACCCGTTTTATCAGTTAGGGTAATCGGGCACAACTCCGTAAGTACGCTTTCAACAGATTTGTATCATTTGGAATTTTTACGAAAAAGTTTTCACCTACAAAATGGGAGCCTAATTTTTGCTTAGTTTTTTTCAAAATTTTCAGAAAAATCAAAAAAATTTTAGGCTAATTTCGTAGAACATCAAAGTTGACCATTTAAAATAAAAATTGATAAAATAACAAAGTTTTGGTCGGTACAGTAACCTTTTCAACATTTCACAAACTTTTATAACCAAAATAGAACAAACTGAATGACTCAAAAGTCAAGTTATTGGAATTCAGCAAAATTCCATCGAGTTCTAATAAAACATGATGAACGATACGATAAAAATGGGCAAAAAAGTAATTATAGGTGACTCTCTGTGTGTTGCGAGAATCAAAAGAGAGTTGCGTAATAAAAAGTTATAGGTGCCCGCCCAACCATCGTTTTGATAACACATCGCCGCTTCTCAAAATGGGCTGCTCTACAAAAACTGAGCGAGAGTGTTTAGATTGTATTAGCACCATTTTTAAGACCAGATTATTCACTTTAATGTATTAAGAAGATGGGTGTGTGGAAGTGATGAGGGAAGAGAGTTCCGTCGAAACATCATAATCTATTTAGACGGAAAGAAAAATTGGAGAATTCCAGGAATGATGAGTTGTTGATTGGTGCTGGAAAGGTTAATGTCAAATGGGTTTCGATTTTTGGGAACTTTCGGAAAATTTTGAGAATTTCAAGACTTTTATCAGCATTTTATAAAAGCAGATAGTTCATTTTACGCTCAATTTTTTGAAAATAAAACATTTCAGAAAAAAATCTTCGAGGACTACAATAACGATATGGAAACTGAGAAGGTTCTCGACTACCCCGGTGACTTTCAAAGATTTTTCATAAGAAAAATCAGTTAAATTCTCCTAAAACCCGCGGGATGAATTTCCATGTTATCCAAAAAATTTTTTTTCGAAAATTTTGCAATATTTGAATTTCAGGGATTTTTGTGAATTTTTTTTGAAAAAATATATTGCCGGAAATTCCAAAAAAATTATATGTTTTTTCTTACAGATAGAGCAATTTTTTGGTTATCGAAAATTCGTTTGTTTAGTATAAACTGAACTCTCTAATAAAAGGGCCCTCTTTTTTTAAAATTAAGCCAATGTATCTCGGTTTTTTCAGTGTGGTCTGACAAAAAACAAATAGATGCAACTTTATTTATTATAAAAATGATTATTTCAAAAGAAATGGTTAAATCAATCACTTCAGTTCTTTTTTATTTTTAGTTTGAATCACAAGTAAAACTAAATGATTTCTCGTGGATCATTTCTTTACATGAATGAGCTGAGTTCAGCTACAGAAGTTGATGAAGTTATCTTGAATTTCACAGCAGATTTCTTCAGATTCTAGACGCTACTTTCTAGATCTTTACCAGCATTTCATTACGTTCCTTATTCAGTTCCTCCATTTTATGATTCTAGCTACAGCTCCAGCTTTAACATTGGTGAAGTGGTAGAATGCTAGCCTGCCACGTCCCGACCGCCATGACCCAGCCGCCAGGACTCTTGCAAGGACCCGGCCGCGAGGAATCGGCTTCCAGGACCCAGCCACCAGGACCCGGCCACCAGGACCCGGCCGCTAGGCCGCGGTCGTCAGTATCCGGCCGCTAGGACCAGACCGCCAGGACCCGACTGTCAGGACCCGGCCGCCAGGACCAGACCGCCAGGACCCGGCCACCAGGATCCGGCCGTTAGTACCCGACCGCCAGGATCCAACCGACAGGATCCGACCGCCAGGACCAGACCGCCAGGACCAGCCCCGGGTCCCCGGATTCCCTTCCTTTAGAGAGCCAGAGAAGGGGAGAACTGATTTTTCCCTATTTTTCACTCTTCCTTTATAGTAATCTTCCCGAGGTCAATGGGCCATCTAGGGTCATAGGCTTCTGACCCATTTCACGGAGTTTTTTTTCTAAAGTTTTTTCTCCACGCTAGTGGATTTTTTCATATTTTTTCAAACAGAAGTTTAGAAAATTACCATCTACCTTTTAAAAATCATAATTGACCCCTCTGATCTTTTTTCTATCCTTCAAAAAAATTACTAGATCCACCGAACGGAATCCATAGATCTGACCACTTTCTATTTTTCCGCCGTATCAATTGACCTTTTGACACTTGAGAAATCTCCTTGATCTAGATGTATTGAGACATAACTGTTGCAATTTTTCCACCTAGATTCTAGAAAAAAAACCGTGTTTCATAAGAATCCTTCTGAATTCTTACATCTCCTTGCTTATTTTTTTTGGTTTTTTTTATCGGATTCACCTCGTGTGTTCCTAGAAATGTTTGCGGACTGTATAAGGAAAGGAGTGGTGGAAAAAGGACAGGTCATTCCCCGAAAAAGAAGAAACAAATCAAAGGATCACATTCATTTTGTCCATCTGTCGCCCTTAAATGTTGAGTAAATAAGTGTTCGAACTTTTGGTTCAAATAGAGAGTAATACTGTAACTACAGTTTATTTTGTTAGTAATTTTCTATTTTCCTCAATTTTTCAAATTTCTTTATACATGACTTGGCTATTTATTTTCATCTTCTACTCTCATGTAGTATATTCATCGTCATCGGACAATTAACTTCGGAAAATGGGTATCTCAAGATCTTCGGTCGCCTTCCACGATTTTCGGAGAAAATGAACAGATTTTAGATTAAGAAGCAGAAATATTTGAATACTTTGGAAAAAGCGGAATTTCGAAAAAATAATTTTTTTGGTTTATGATTTTTCTAGATTTTTTGATATGAGGATGAGGTTTGGATTGTATTTTTAAGCTAATTAGTTCATAAGGTGTTTATTTTTAAATTTCGTGATAGTAATTTTTCTTGCACAAAAAATTTTTTAGGTGTTCAAGATTTTAGTATTCTTCAGTTTTTCTCCGTGAATGTCTTCTAGGAAAGTGTCCGAAATCATAAAAAGAAAATTCTCAGTTTTGGCGGGAATTCAAAAAAGTTACATGAGTTTCCAGAAATGACGTTCTCACCATATTACAAAATTTCTGAATTCTAAAGTTTTGTATTTTCGAATAATCGACTTATCGAATTTCCAAAAAGTTGAGATTCAGAATTCAAAACATCTAAATTTCTTAGTTTCCGGATTTTCGAATTTCAAATTCCTGAACTTTCGAATAGTGGATTTCTGAATTTTTGAAGATTGGAATTCTAAATTTTCGAGTTTCTAGTTTTTTACAATTCAAAACTTTAGAATTTCAGAAATTTTAGAAGTTTTGAGTTTGTTTTCAATTTCGAATTCTAGAATTTGTGGAATATTGGATTACCGAATTTTCAAATTTTTTATTTTGGATGTTTGTAATTTTGAGATTTTCGAGATTATAACTTTCGGAATTTGTGAGATTTTGAACTCAAAATGTCCAAATTTCAAATAATACAATTGTTCTCTTCTTCAAATTTCTTTATTTAAAATTTGGAATTTTGAGTTTTAGATTTTATAGCGTTCGTATCATGATATCAGTCTACATATCAGCCTACGCAGATATTTCTTCAAAAAAAATTTAAATCAAGCCAGTCATTAAAAAAACGAATTCTGAATTATCAGAAGACATAAGTTCAAAAAAAATACAGATCCTCCAAAATTCAGAGCCCTTGAAAATCAAAAATTCTTTCATAGACTTGAGATATTGTTCCCATAATATTTATATCTGCTAAAAATTAATCCATCTCGAGAAAACAGCTTCCTCGAAATTGACGTCATATTTTATGATTCCAGTTGTTGCGCTGTTTGAACATTTATTCTCGTCTCTATCTGGACAATTATCCCCATCCATTAATTACCCTCAAAACGATCTGATGTTGTAAGAATCCTTAGACGATATCCATCCGTCACAGGCACCTGTCCAATATTCCCGTTTCTTGATAGAATGATCTCGTTATCAAATCCCTTACCGTATCTCAAGACCCTCCGATACTGATCTCTGTGATCATTTTTAAAACAATCCTTTGTTTTGATAGCCACGGAAGAGAAAGTGTTCTGTGTCCACACTTGAAAATAGTCTAGTACTTATTCCATTTCCTGAATTCCAGATTCACTTCTTTTCATGGGGATCTCGTGAAAGTGAAAAAGAGAGGAAGCATCGAATGGTGGAGGTGGTGGTCAGTTAAGTATCCGAAAGTCATTGACTTGGTTTCGCTGCTTCTTCATTTCTTTTTCTTCTTCTTCTTTTTCGCAAGAAACCAGCGTTTATACACAAACAATATATCCAATTTTCGCGCTCATCGTTTTCACCTGGTGGTGGTCAATTGTAGAAGAGAAGAAGACGTGGGTTGAAGTATTAGAAGGAGAACCCACGGCTTCTATGAAATCCCCCAATTGGCCGTGTAGAAGAGAATGAGACATTTTTAGTTACGTCCGAAATTTTATGCGTTGGCCCTTCGGAATGATTTCTGATTCACATTTTCTATTTCTTTGCTTAATTTGATAAGAATGGATCGAACCGAACATTTCCCCTTATCTAATCCAATTTATCAGAATCAACAGTTCATTAGTTTTGTATCCCCCTAAAGTGTACTTTGACACACAATATTTTGATTAGGAGAACTATCCTTCCGCTTCAAATCTTCTTGATTCCTTGAGGATTTATTTTGCTGTGTGAAGATTTGACAACGAGATAAAAAACACGGCGAGAACTACATACAGACTGGCACTCTTGTACCGCGGATGGTCGAGGGAGGTGTCATAAAATAGTTTTTTGGGAGGTTAGAGATTTCCCGAAATCATCATCAAACCTGAAATGTCCGCTTATACGATTCATGAAAAATCGAGAGTTAATATCTTCGAATCTTGTTTTTGAGCAGAGTTCCACGGAAAGTTCCTAGTCCGTTGTCCGTCGTCCGGCTATCCTTGACTGTCCGCTGTCCGTTAAAAAATGTGTCCGTTGCACAAAAAAAGTTTTTCTGTCGCTCGTTTTCCATGTTGTATGAGAAATCCTGTTTTCAGCCCTTCTTATGCTTGACCTAACAATGAAATCAAAAGTTTTGACAGGATTTCAAAAATCATGTAAGAAACTTTCGAGAAATTTCATAAGGAGATTTTTTGGGGTGTTTATCTCTTTGAAAAGTTCTATTAAGATTGTAAATTGCCTCATTTTATTCGTGTCGTTGTTAGTAACCCTGATTGTCAATTTTAAGCCAATTTTTTTGGTTTTCTGGAAAAAATATCCAAGAGCTAAAATATTGCAAAACGTTCACCATACCCATTCGCTCTATTGGCAGAACACCTTATACGCGCACTTGGAGCTCAATTATTTTGGCTCCTATGCAAAATATCAAAAATTTGTCAACTAATAAAATGTTTTTGATATTATGATAAACATTTTGTCCGTTGACCACTTTTCGATATCTTTCACAGGAATTCAGATAAATGGGCTCAAAGTTAAAAGTTAGGGGTGGCGTTCTATTAGAGTGTTTACGGTGAATTGAGTCAACAGGAGCTTCTATCAAAATGTTTACGGTATGCGAACTGATCAATTATTTTTGTTTTCGATTATTTGGATTATCATTTAAAAAAACAAATCGTCTTTTCATTCTATCTGTCTTGTTTTGAAGTTTGTGTAATCGGAACAACTGTGATGGACAGAATATTCTGATGAACTAATTTTGCCTAATTTGATCTAATTCATTTCTGAAGCAGTTTTCAAAGTTAGGAGATTTTGGATTTCAATGATTTTCGAAATTTATGGATTTTACCAAAACTGCAATTTCGTTCGTCTCAAGTTTTTAAACAATATACCATTTGTCCAGTTTTTCAGATTTGAAAATTTCAACTGATGCTTACCGTAAACACTCGGCTCTTTATGACAAGGGGGGGCCCTTTAGAAAAGGGGGGGGGGGCCGATGAGAAAAAGGGGGCCCAAGCGAAAAGGGGAGCCCATGAGAAAAGGGGGGCCCAAGTCAAAAGGGGGGCCCAAGTGGAAAAATGTGGACTAAGTTAAGAATTACCAATTTTTTCAAGTTTTTCGAATGTTTCTATAAAAATTTCGTACTTTGCGCATGGTTCCACAAAAATTTGTAACTTCAAAAAATTTCAGTTTAGGCCAGTTTTTTGCATAAACAACACTATTTTTTACATTGTAACTGTGTAATTTGAAGTTATTCAGCTAGTTCCAGATTTTTTCAGGCTTAGTAACAAAAAAATAGACAAAAAATATGCAAAAAATGACATAAACTGAAATTTTCAAAAAATTATGAAAAGTGTTCAAAGTTCGAAATTTTAATGGAAACGGTCACAAAACTTGAAAAAATCGGTAAATATTAACTCAGGCATAATTTTTCCACTTGGGCCCCCCTTTTGACTTGGGCCCCCCTTTCTAATTTGTAGCTTAATCAACTTTTTGCAAATGTTCTTCCTTCCCAGCATGATCCGTTTTCTCACAATTCTAAATCGATTTCTCTGCCACAATCTCTGGAAAAAACGAACCAAAACGTGTGAGAAGTCTCATATCATTTCACTGTTCTTTCTCTTTCCGCAATCAGTATTCCGGAGGAATATGAGGCCAACCAATTAGCCTGAATCCTCACTGAGAGACCCCATATCTCCCTCACTTCCCCCGAACAAACAATAAAACAGTAATTAGATATTGAATCCGAAAAAAACTGTACCACGAACGGAACACACACACACACTCACAATCGAAATTCTAATTTCCCTTCGCTTTTCTTAACCTCCGCCCTTTATTTCACTTCCTTTGTTTTCTGCCCGCCCACTTCCATAGATATTCCAGAAGACAATCGCTCCTTATTCTTATTCCTCCTAGCTTCTCCTCCTAGCGGATCATCCAAACAAGGTTCAAAAACTTCTAGACACACGACTTTCTTCCTCTTTCACAATTAAGATCAATTTCCCTCTCCTGACCGCGCTTCATCTTGCCCCTAAACCAGTCCCGTTTCTCTTCCGATTGTTTCTTTTTCATCTGTCTACTGTTTTTTTTCTAGATGACCACCACCTGCCGTCTCATCCTGCTTCTGCTCATGGCTATTGGGATTCAGGAAGTCTACAGTAACACACATTCGGTATTAGAACGATACGAGGAACGACTCAATTCAGCATTATCCAAACGGACAGGAGTTCCAAGGACTGTCAAAAGGTACTACTAGGAAGTTTTACTACTGTTTTTCGGAGGAACCGTAATCCGTCGGAAGACAGATTTTGACCCCTAGACATAATCCCCAGGGGCTAAGACGTTTCTTATCCGGATTTAAGCAAATCCAGCATAATTGCAGGTACAAGGTGTCGAAGAATACGTGACGTACGATCAGCATGGACGGCAAGTTACGTCTTATCAGGGACCCAAGTTTACTACGACCATGGAGCCACCAGTGAGTATTTGCCTCGGATCTGATTTTAATGAAAACAGTTGGAAGTTTCCAAAAAAAGTTTTTCCTGCCTCTGAATTGTTCTAGAAGCTAGACCTTCAGACATGAAAGTGACAACTGCACATTTTGACACATTATTACCAGGGCTCAAATTTGTACTAACATAAAAATTGAGTAAAGCATTGTACCTGGCTAAATTTTGAAGAGCAAAAATTTGAATATCTCATCAGGAAACTAGCCTAGCTTCAAATGATTTGATCAACTTTGAGCTTACTTATCGCTTGTCAAAAATGATTCATCTCATGAAAATCACAACGTCATCTTTAAACAGCCGTGAGAATACCTAGACTTGAGGACTCGCTTTGAAAATTTTAGTAGCTTTGAATCAAACGTAAAATTATATTTCTTTTAATCTTCTTGCTTTTTATCTGTTTTGGTAATTGTGCGTCAGCCTGTAGAGTTTTTTGAGACATTTGGGAGACAACAGAAATTGCACATACACTACAACCCACATGCAATTAGACATTTTCAAAGCGTCTCTTATTACCAAAACATTATAAAAAATGAGTCGAATCTCGTACTTGCCCGCAATATTTTACGACTGTAATGTATCTCCACGGCGCAATAGATTTTCTGAGGACCTTATATGACGCTTATATGTTTTATACAACGTCATCAAAAATTTATATTGGAAGAATCGAGTGGCTAGTTCGTACCCAAGACGAAAACAATCAATTTTTTTAGAAAAGCTTTGTTTTAACTTGTATGGAATCCTATTGTGTCATTTACCGTGAAACCTCTAATAGAGAGCGTCTTAAATTTTAACTTTTAGCTCAAATATATCGATTCCTAAGGAAGATATCAAGAAAATGTTAAGTAACAAAATTTTTATGATATTATGATTAATTTATGATTTTACCACTTTTTGATATCTCTTATAGGAACCAAGATAATTGAGCTCAAACTTGACAATCTGGGAGTCCTCCTATTACAGGTTTAACGGCAATGGAGGTCTATTATTATTCCATTTCATATACCCCCAAAAGTGTTTATACAATTTGAAATCATTTTCTACTGAAAATACCAATATATGGCAAATCGAGAAGTACTCTATATTTCTAGCCGAGGCAAAGCTTTTGTAACATGTTCTATAATCCCTCCTTCCTCTCCTTAATTCATCATCAACCTAATTTTTGTTCCAGACATACCGTACCTCAGGCGAAAAAGAGATTCGCCGAAAGCCGGCGAAAAAAGTGACGATCGCAATCAATCGAGATTCTGAACCAACGACTTCGACTCAGAAAACGGTGACGTCATCCACCGAATCGAATCAACCGACGTCGTCTTTGAAGCCTTTCGATGAGATGAATGATGAGGAGGCTGATAGGATCATCGAGGAGATGTACCTGAAAAAGAAGGTGAGGGCAATTAGGTTGAAAAGATTTGGATCTGGTGTTTGTGACCAGGAATAGTCTAGGTTTAAGTCCCAAAAGAAACTGATGAGATTACTGTAACCTTTTCCGTTCCAATATTTCATGTCTAGACTTTATTTTCGGTCAGTTCATCTAGTCGATCGGAAACCAACCATTTTTTTAATGATTGATAACCCTAATTTCCCCCAAGTGGACCTATACTTTCCTATTCGTTTTCTAACCCTAAAATAATTTAATATCTCTTTCTTCTCCTCTAGGAAAGCCACGCAACGGAATCACCGGAAGAATTACCAGAGGTCATCCGTACCGAATCAACACAACCTCCTCTTCCACCTCCACCACCACCACCTCAAAAGACACACGCCTATTCGACGTCATCGTCTTCGGCGAATAATGGAGTAGGACTACCACCATCAAGATATAGCACAGTGAAGCAGCAGCGGAATAATAGAATGTGGGTTGATTAAGAGAGCAGAAAAATAAAAAGGAATTTGGATTTCAGAAGAGAAACTGAGGATGATGAGGACTATCCAAGATCAGTGTACCATAGAGATTCCCGAAAGAGGCCGTATGATATGTCGACTTATGACGATTATGATGATATTCCATTGTACAGACCCATGAGACGAGGTATAACATTCGGAAACTTTGAATTTTCGAAACATTTAAATCCTGAGATTCTAAAATAATGAGTTTCTAAAATTCCGAAATTCCGACATTCTGAAATTCTGAAAATCTGAAGTTTTGAAATTTTTGAAATTTTTGAAATTCTCAAAGTCTCGAATTCTCGAGTTCTGAATTTCTGGAAATCACAACTTCTTTTCAGAGTACCGTATGCGTCGTCGTCGTCCGATTATGTTTTCCGATGACTTTTCCGATGATACCGACTTTGACGAGAGAATCGAAAGCAACCCACGTCGTCAGACAACTCGAGATCTTTCTCCCCTCCGATCCATCAAGAGCCTCCGACATTTACCCCCTCAATATCGCCAACCGGGACCACCACCGCCAGCCCCATTGTCTCTTCCAGTCTCTTCATCCACAAATATGATCCATCGACCAGCACCCCTCCCAATGGTTCCTCCTCACATGAGAATGCCTCCAGCACCACCAGGACCTCATCCAATGATGCCAATGCCTCCAGGATTGGGTCAAGTTCCAATGATGCCACCTCCACAACCCCTTCAACCACTTCAACAGCAACAAAGTATAAATCCTGGAGAGCAAGAAGTGCTAAAAATGAAGCCGATTCTGCAAGCGAATCCACAAGAAATGCAAGTGGCGACGGCGGAGAGTTGTGCGAAAATTACAAAGTTGGCGAAGAGTTTCAATATTAAGGATGTTTCAAAGTGGGCAAGGAGTAATTGTGCTTTCCTTCAGGTGAGAATGTTTGAAAAAATTGGGGTTCTGAAAAACAGTTTTTACCTCTAGACTATCCTAGAGGCTTCAGCCATGAACCTACTTAAGTTTGTACTAGCATAACATTTGAGTGGATTGTTGTACTGAGCTCAAATTTGAATAGAAAAATTTTAATAATTCAGCGGCAAACTGGCGAAGTTAAAAATTATTTGATCAAGTTTGAGCTGAGTTATCGCTTGTCAAAGTTGCTCTATCTCATGAAAATCACAACCGTTCATCATTGAATAATCATAACAATACTTAGACTTGAGGAATCGCTTTGAAAGTTTCAGTAATTTTGAATCAAAAGTAAAATTACATTTCTACCAATGTTCTTGCTTCCAAGATACATACTTATGCTTGAAGATATACCCGTTTTTAGCAGCCCAATCTCTAGAAAATCAATTTTCTAAAACCTCTTATTTTTCAGATGTACGCTCCAACCGCCAGCTGTGAGCTCATATTCCATTTCATCGATTCTTGCAGATCCAAGAAGTTCTTTTAAATTTTTTCCTTTATTTTTTCCTTTATCTCCGGAATCCCCCTCTCAAAGTTCTCCTAATTGCTCTTCCAATTCTCTCATGCTCATGATGCATTTTTTCTCCAAAAAACACAGACATTTCAAACCCATACGGGATTTTCATTCAAACATTTCTCTGAACCGTTTCATTTTTTCTGTTATACAGATTTTTAATAATTTTAATAATTATAATATTGTGTTTTCAGGTTTCGATTGATTTAATTAATTTATTGCAAATTTTATATTGCACAAGAATTGTTCTCAGAAGATACCAAATAAAAATTATGTGAATTCAGCAAACAGTTCTAAGCGGCGATACAGAAAAAATAAATTCTATCTGAAAAGGAACATAGAAAAAACACAGTTTTTGGAGGGGAAAGGAAGCATGGGATGAGATCCGTTTGAGAAGAAAAAATCAATTTAGTAGGAATGTTGAAATTATGAAAGAGTTGAAATGATATGATGATGTGATAGGGGTGAAGAACGAGTAAAAATCAGAGGACCACGAAAAAAAAGAAAATGTTCTTCTAGGGGGATTAAAAGACAGTTGATGGTGGGTGGTCCTCTGGTTCTGGAGTGTTAGGAGCGCGACCCGATTTCTTGGGCACTTGTGAAGTGGCGGTGGAACTGAAAATGGAGTAAATTAGAAAACAGTATTTCAACAAGATTCAATATTTTAATTTTCTCTGTTTTCAACAACTGATGTAAGTAGTTCCGGAAAGAAATACCGTCACATTTACCTTTTTGCCTCTTATAGAAGCTCAGCCAAAGCGTTGACTTTGAGCTCAATCGTCTGGGTTCCTATGAGAGATATCAAAGTTTTGCCAACAGATAAAATATTTTTGATATTATAATAAACAATTCATCAATTAGCTACTTTTCGATATCTTTTACAGGAAATAAAATAATTGAGCTCAAAGTAGACGTTTGAGCAGGCGCTTCTTTTAGAGGGAATGCGGTATACTGACATGGTGTGCTCGATTATCCCGATTTCTGTCAAAGGTATTGAAAATTTGTCAAACATTTTATCAGTTGACAGATTTTTGATACCTTTCACAGGAACCAAGATAATTGAGCTCAAAGTTCAAGTATAGTGGCGGTTTTATTTAAAGGAAATATAGCCTTATATAGGCTATTTTGAAGCAAAAAGAACTAGCAAAATAGTGGTCATATTATTTCAATTCCTATGCAAGATATCAGAAACGTGTCAGCTGACAAAACACTTCTGATATTATGATAAAGAACTTATCAGTTGACAACTTTTTTTTTATCTTCCAGAGGAACCGAGAAAACTTGGCTCGAAGTTGGAGATATTTCTATTTACGGTAGTTTTTACGGTAGTTAGAGCAACTTTTTGGTCATTTTAAAAGAAATAACTCACTTTGTCGAAGGCGTTCATGCCTTCGGCGATGGTGATGACAAACCAGCTTTGAGTATCGTAGATTTTCTTGGCATAGTCGCCATTGAATCCTTTTGCGAGTGACACTCTCGTTTTGCAAAACGCCTCCATTGTCTCCATTCGATTGATGGGATCACTACGAGCTGCATTCAATTCACTTGCGTAGAGCTCCGAATCGAAGAGCTTGATGGTTGGCAACTTATCCTCATGAAGAAGATTTCCAAGTTCATCATGTTCGTTTTGCACTCGAATGACTGTATCCAGTGGCTTGCCATTTATGTGGTTGAAGAACGGACTTTGAATGAAGACGACGCATTTTGCTGTGAGGACGGTGAGCCAGACAGTTCCTTTTTCTTTGGTCATCCGAATTCCTTCTCCGAACGTCTGATGAATTCCTTGAATTTTGGAACTATTGCCACAAGTGAGCTGCATCCGACTTGAGGTACTTCCAACTGTTGTAATCCCTCCTTCTATAGTAAATGTAGGTTGAGAAGTTTGGAAAACTTCCTTGGCCTGGGCCTTCTTTTTGACACCAAGCTGGAATGTTTGGACGTGGCACCATGTCACACCTCCTTCTGGCTCTTCTTCCTCCATTTCGACTTCATCTGATCGTAGCTCCAGCTTCTGTGGGACACCAGGCATTGGTTTATTGACTTCGATGCAATAGCACTCTGGTTCCTCCAATACCGGTTGAGGTTCAGGTTGAGAATGATTGAGATTCAGACGCTCGAAAGTGATGACGACTGGTCCCGGAGTCATTGGTGCCATTGGTGGATTTGATGGGCCTCTGAAAAAAACGAGAAATATTGAAATAAAAATTGGTTGTCTTACGGTTGGCTGATGACGGAAGCAACTGAATGATTCTCGTCGTACTGTGGAGATGGTTCTGTAGAGCTTCCTGGGATGGACCTAGTCATCATGGGGGTATCCTCGGGCATGGGGATGTCATCCCACCACTGGTGGGATGACATTCCTTCAGTATGCTTGCTGGGCATAGTTGATTGGGGTAGTGGCGCTGGAAATTTTTCAAATAATTATATATTGTCAAAATTTTATTTTCAAATCTCCGCCAGAGCTTAATTCTTATGTTTGAAAATGCGTTCCATCGAACAGCCATTCAAAAATTTCTCTCACCACTAATGCGCCCTTGCTGCTCTCCACCGCGTTCCGTCCTTTTTTTAGTGAATTGTGAAAAGAACTTCTTGGCTAGAAAAGGGAAAAAATATTCTTAGAAACTTAAGTACACTTTCTCAACGTTTTTTTTCCAAAAACATTTCAAAAGAAAAAAACAAAAAAGGTGACTCACCGGGGAGCATGGGATTCACGGGTACAGCCCAATTGAAGTCTTGGTTGAGTGATGGATGACTGAAAATGAGAAAATATATGATTAGGTCTACTAAGAGATGAGGGAGGGGAGGTGGAGCTTCAAAAAAGGCGTGAGCGAAAAAAGAAGACGTAGAGAAGGAAGGCCCCCAGGGATAATTACAAGCTTATGCTCGCTCAAATGACATGAGTCGGAAGAAGAGAAAGCGATTATCGGATTACGAATAACGGATTGGACGTGGGAGATGCGGAAATCACCTGTAGAGGTTGAAGAGCTTAAGGATATTGGGAGATTAGAGAAAAAGTGGAATACCGTGAAACTTCTAATAGAAGGGCCCCACAACGCTAAGTTTGAGTCAAGTTATCTAGGTACTCGACGAGGATATGAATTAGTTGTCAAATGATAAAATGTTCATTATAATATCTTCAACATTTTTTTCAGTTGACTACTTTTTGATATCTTTCCCAAGAAACGAGATAATTGAGCTCAAAGTTGATGATCCAGGTGTGGAGACTATTAGAGTGCTTACGACAGTTCAGAGGGCAAATTTTGCAGTGTTTGGTGTTAAAATTTTTAGAACAACCCAAAAAATAACGCAGAAAAGGTGAAAACTTATTTTTTACAATTTTAAGATCAACAATTGATTCTGGATTTTTTGAAAGAAAAAAAACTGGAATCAAAAGTTTTTGGACCGAAAAATCATTTTTTAACAAATCGAACAATTAAATTAGGACTTGATAATTCTGTAAATTTTCAAAAATGTTGCTTCAAAATATAAAAATAAGTCAAAATCATTTCAGAAGATTTCAATTTTCTGACAATTATTTTTCAAACTTAAACAGAAACCTCAAATACACACCCCCAGCGCCTCTTCTTATATACACACTTGTTATTCTTTTTGGATTCTCAGAAATATTGTGAATTCTCACGAATAGAAAGATCTAGAAGAGAAAAAGAGCTAAGGAGAAAATTCCAGGTGAGTTTTTAAGAGCACATTCATGGAAAAGCCAAACCAGGAACCCCTAATGCGTCATACCCTGACAGGTGGTTTGTTGAGTAATAAGAAGCAGTAGATTAGAACGATTATACACTGGGAGTACTGTGTTCCCGAAAGGCAGTATAATTAGACAGGACAATGTGTTAGATAAACGGGTCACAAAATACTAGGTCAAGGATCGCCGAAAAATGTTGCCAACTGTTTTACATGCCTCTCTCGCTCTCCCGTTTTTTTTCTCGACGTCATTTTTTTGGCAACAATCTGTCAAATCGATTTTGGTAAAATAGTATTGGGAAAGGAATTCAGAAGGGACAGAACCCTAGAAATAGTACATGAATAGAAGAGACGCAGAGAGAACTTTTTCAATGTTGATGAAAAGGATGAGAGAGGGGGCAGAAAAAGTATTGAAAAGAGAAGGAGAAGGAGGACACGAGAGTCGGAAAAAATAGAGAGAATGGAAGAGAAAAACGGAATAGTGTGTCTTTTCGGTCACAACAAAAATTGAAAAAGAGGAGAGCATAAAAAGAAGGGGAGAAGCGGCAGTAGTGTGGGAGAGCAACAACACGTGAGCATTTTGAGGAGAGGAAGAAGAAGGAAACAACAAGTTCCGGAGATCCATCGATGCACGTGTTGTGCCACACAAGGTGAAAAAAGAGGAAGTTAGAAGATGGATGACGGAGGAGTAGAAGAAGAAGAAGACGTCGCGTTCACTACTACCATGAATGCGAAATGAAATGACAATTTGGGGAGAGTAGGATGCGAGGATGACTAGAAAGATGACGAGAAGAAAAGAATAACAAATCGGGAAGAGAAAGAAGAGAATGAACACAAAGATAATAGGTTATAGATTAGAAACATACATTCTGTTCTGTGTTGTAATGTGATAGTTGGGCGGGGCTTAGAATGTATATATTATGTAACATGTGATACATGGGCAACGAACGGTAAAAGATCAGGAAGAGAATTGGGTGTTAAAAGACCAGGAAGAAAATAATTATCTACAGTAATCAGGAAGACACTTGAACGGAAAAAATGACACCGAACGGAAACCGAGATACTGTAAAAGCTATAATAGAAGGGCATCTAACTTTGAGCCTGTATATCTCGGTTCCTGTGAAAGAAATGAAAAAGATTTTCACTGACAAAATGTTTATCATAATATTACCAACAGTTTGTCAGTTGACACATTTTTGATATCTCTCATAGGAACCGAGATAATTAAGAACAAACTTGGCAGTGTGGAGGGTACTGTAAAACTCTAACTGTTGACTTCAAGCTCAATTATCTCGGTTTTTGTAAAATTTATCAAAAAGTGGTCAACTAACAAATTGTTTATCATACTATAACCAATGTTTTATCAGTTTACAGATTTTTATTATCTCTTATAGAAACCGAGATCAAAGCTGTGTGATCCTTCTATTACAGGTTTTAATTCAGTTTGATTGCAATGAGCGTAAGGCTAATGAATAGTACGATTAAAAAAAGAATGATTCCACTTTTTTGCAACATATTCTTCTGAAGGTTACCTTCTCGAAAAATTAGTTAGTTACAGTCCACTACACTTCCTAATCGAGATTGGAAATCTTTCCAAAAACCTCTAAATTTTTCTCGTTGACTACACACTAAACCAAAGTTTCTGACTTGTTAGTTTCTTTTTCCGAGCGCAAAACCAACCGATTTTGAGCAGTAGAACGACTCTCGCTCGTCTCCGTTTCCCGCGGCTGAACAAAGTTTGGACTTGTTCAAATATTTGCGATTTTTCGAGAGTGAGAGAAAATGAGAAGGAAAGCGAAACAGAAGGACGATCGGGGTCATTGAGACCGAAAACAGAAGATTTGAATCGAGATCAAGAAATCGAAATTGTTGTTGTGAAAAACCAGGATAGAAGTGATTATCATGAAATACCGTATTTCCTATAATAGGAGTCTACCCAAACCGTCATCTTTGAGCTCGATTATCTTGGTTCCCATAAGAGAAAATAAAAATTTGTCAATTGATAAAATTTTGGTGATATTATGATAAATATTTCATCAGTTGAAAGACTTTTGATATCTCTCATAGGAACCGAGATAATTGAGGTCAAAGTGTACGGTTTCTGTGCACTTCTATTAGAGAAAATACGGTATATCCTTTGTTAACTGTCAGAATAAAAAAAACGGATACACAGGATTTAAAAACTAGAGGCAGAATATTCAGAATTGACTTTTCAGTAGTTTCGATTTTGTTTTCTATCCCATTCTTCAAAAACTAATGGGAAGCCTACAGTAATATGTTTGGAATCTATTTTGTTTTGTTTCTTTCCATCTTTGTAATTCAAATTTATTTTGATTCGGCGGGATTTTCAAATATTATACAACTACCGATAAAAAAATTCAGAATTTCCATTCAGAATTTCCAAAACTGGTTTTCGAAATGTTAAATATTCCAAAAAAAAAATTCAGGAATTCTAAAATATTCAGAAATTCAAAAACTTAAAAAAAAATCTCACATTCAGATTTTCATAAGATTAACTTTCTACGATTTGAGAATTTTTCTTTGTTAATGAAGCAACTCCACTGGGTACTGTGACTATGAAAATGTTTAAACTTAAACTTTGAAGTGCACTATGACATCATTGAACCTACCGTACCCATACATCTGAAACTTCATAAACGCGTGGGGAGGGGGGGGGGATGATCAAACAACCAAAATCATTCCCGAATGGTCGTGATGCGTGCGTTATCAGCGGTCAGAGAACAAAAAGTTAAAACACAGTATAGAGTTTTATCAGTATTATCAGTATTGAGTGAAAATTGTTGTCAACAATGCCAAACTTTCGCAAAAAATTGAGTACCGGGTCGTACCCGAAAGAGGGGCAATGAGAACACAAGACACTTTGTGCTTTGGCTATGTTTAAGAGGGGCCCAATTGGTTGTAAAGATGATCTATCTCCATCTGTTTGTGTATTGATGAGAGGTGATCTTCAAAGATCAAAAGATCAAGATTGGGAAAGATCGGAAGACGCAGAGAAGCTGAGAGAAGAAAGTTGATATATTATGCGTCCGTGCGTCTTATAAAAGTTGCGGAAGGGTCATCTTGTTTCTGTCTGAGATAGAGAGAGAAAGAGAGAGAAAGAGAGAGAGAGAGAGAGAGAGAGAGAGAGAGAGAGAGAGAGAGAGAGAGAGAGAGAGAGAGAGAGGGAGAGAGAGAGAGAGAGGGGGGGGCATAATGATAAAAAATGAGATCAAAATTCATAACTTTCGCACAAGAAGAGGTCAGATGATTTTGTTAATGAGAAATGAAATGAAATTTTTGAGTCACAGGCTTCATTTCGAAATTTCCCATAACTTCGAGAAAAGAGCAAATCGAATGACGTCCAAAAAAAGGGGGAAATTATTAATAGAATGTATTCGTGGGAATGAGAGATATATAACATGGAGAAAAAAAGAAGAAGCAAAACAATTCTGATATATGAGGAAAGCTGAAAAATGGAAACCAGAAAACATTTCCCCCAGGTGCATGTTTTTATACTAGTCGGTTGATGTGGTAAACAACAACTCGAAATCAGAATTTTATCTAGTCAAGTGAAAACAGAAAGAAAGATATATAAATTCAACGAGGGATTGCTCAGATTTTGGAAAATAATACAGTTGAAAGTGAATATTTAGAAATTGAATCCTAAAAAGCTAGCTTGAGAAATCTAGACATATCGAGGTCCAACTTTGAGCCAATTTATCTCGGTTCCTGTGAAAGATATGCGAAGGTAGTCAACTGAGAAATTGGTTATCATAATATTTTACGTATTTTATCAGTTAACACAACACTTTTTGATATCTTTTACAGAAACCGAGATAATTGAGCTCAAACTTAACGATTTGAGTGGCACTCAATCAGAGTTCTTACGATATCTTGGGGAAGTCTACACAGGTGACTCGCGAACAATCCGTTACGGATTCTCCGCCATTCGCGCGCGGATGAAATAGGAATCGTATACGGACCGTACGCGAATCCGTAACGGATCCGTTTCCGACTCATTCTTTGAAAACCCCCGCCGCTCCTTTTTTCAGTTTCTCTTAATTTTTGCTGAGTTTTCATGATAGTTGTAGACTTAGTATTCGAAACTTTATTAAGAAAACATATAAGAAACAACAATCAAACGTACAACAAAGTTCGAGAAACTATGAAAATCCTTTTTTTTTTGTTGAACGACCAACCGGAACCAGAGCAATCTGAAAAAAAATTGGGAAATTTTCCGAAAATGCAGCATACTGTTTACCTATTAGTTATATTTTTTGTTTTCCGGGTTTTGAAAATTGTCCCATTTCCAACGTTTTGGTCGGTAGATGTTTAGTAGATGTCCATCGCTGAAAATTTGAAAAGTCACTATTTTGAAAACTAATGTGGTTTGCACTTACCTTAAGCTAGCATCTTGCTTTCTGGAAAGTGAGCATCAAATCAATATTTTTTGTTCCTTTTGCTCACGGAGAGGTTAAGTGATACCTATAACAAACCCTATGTTTCGAAGAATTACTTTCGTGTCACAAACCTTTTTTCATCGTAGAATCGCCTTTCGAAAATTCTGATAGACAGAAATCGACTCAATTGCCGAGAAAAGTTGGAAAAAACGGCAATAATAGATTGAAAATACAAAAAAAAGATGAAAAAATATGATGGAAGAGTTAAGAGAAAGCTAGTCCCTCACAACTCGGCCATCCGGAACGGATCCGTTCGCGACTGGGCATGGGAGCTATCTCTCGACCTCCAGCTGCATCCGTATTCGGTCCGTTCGCGAACTCCGTATCCTGTCCGATTGCGAATGTTGAAAAAACGGATCCGTTCGCGAACTCAGATTCGCGAAACTGCCCGTAACGGACCCGTCACGGATAGAAAACCTAGTGGACACCGAAACGGATCCGTTCGCATTTTACCTGTGTAGGCCTAACTCGAAGCACGAAATTCTCATTTTATGCTAATCTTCTTCTCAAAAAGCAAAGGTCCTAAAATAGGAAATGACTCACTGCTCTCCGAAATTCTAGGATTAAACATATGTGACATGGACTTATGTAAGAAAAAGAGGGAAAAAATTCACTTTGAGCTGTTTCCGGGTGCTCCTCCACCCCCTGCAGCTTGCTCTCTACTTCCTTGTCCTCCTCTTGCACCGCTGACTTGACCAATCCCTCTTTGCAGTCCTTCGAAGGCTTGTCCAGGAACCGCAAATCTAGGACCTCCTGGCCCAGAAGTTGAATGTCCAGGGATTGGGAATCCTCTATTGGGACCTCCTGACAATGGCCCAGAGACTGCGAAGCCTCCGGTAAAACCACCCGGTCCAAATCCAGTTGATGGGCCAGGGACCGCAAAGCCTCCTGGCCCAAATCCAAGTGTTGGCCCGATTCCCGGTCCTCCTGCTGGATGTCCTCCAGAGAATCCACCTCCATGCCTTCCGGCTGTTCCATTCACAGAAGAAATTCTTGGCGCCTTGCCGAGCCTTCCAGTTCTACTTCTCCCGGGTTGACCTGATCCTAAAGATTGCCATAACTCTTTTTCAGGTAGCTTTCTTGAAGGCAGATAATTCGGAGGGTACAAAAATTTTAGGGTCATTAGGGTCAACGCAATGTAGGGGTACAAAATGCTCAATTCGAAGTTACAAAGTACCTGAAAAAAATTCGAGTCTTGTACCGCCGATTTGTGGATTTCGTATCCCAAAATCATTTTGAACCTCCTTGTACCTCCGAATTGTTGTACCCTCCGAATTGTGTGTCTTTCTTTAAATCTCACCTGGAGGAACCATTCCTTGTTGAGATCCATATCTCCCTTGGTGTCCCGGGTTTCCTCCAGGACCACGTCTTTCCTCCACGAACACCACTTCCTCGTCACTTCCCCCGTCTACTACAGGCCCCGGTGTTTCTGGTCTCGCAATCCTTGAGATTCGTTCCAGAGCCTCCAAAAGCGAACCCTTATCGTTGTTGGCGTTGTTCTTCATCAATTCGTTCAACTCTGTGATGCCTTGCATCTTGTTCTTGGCACACTCTGTTCTGCAAAAAAAAAACCGCTTATTGCAACAAAATCGCGTTGTTGGTCAATGAAAAGGAAAAAGGAGGAAAGGAGCTGAACAAATCAAACACCGAAGTACTTAGTTCTCAATTACCTAGATACAGGGTAATGGGATAAAGGTGCAAGGTATTTGTCACGGGTCTACTAGCTGAGAAATTTGAATAAGAGGATAATTAAGATTTTCGTATAATTATGACTGAAAATGTGGTGTGTCTAAAAATTTCTAGAAACGGTAGTTGGATATAAATGTACCGTAAAACCTGCAATAGAAGGTTTCCCTAACTTTTACCTTTGAGCTCAATTATCTCGGTTCCTATGGGAGATATCAAAAATCTGACAACTGACAAGATATTGGTGTTATTATGACAAAAATTTTACCAGTTGAAAATTTTTTGATATTTTTCATAGGAGCCAAGATAATTGAACTCAAAGTTAACGAATAGGATGGGCTTTTATTAGAGGAAATACGGAAAACAAAGGAAAACGACAATTAGTTTTTAGTTTTTCCGATTTAAAATACGTTTCTACCAGATAAAGCCAATTTAGAAACTATATTCGAAATACTGAAACATTGTCGACCCGGAAAATTAGTTTTTGCAAAAGTTTTACTTGTCATTTGAAGTAATACAGTAACCCAAATTAACTCTAATAGAATACCATCACCATTTTTGCTCATTAAGCCTATATATCTTGGTTCCTGTTACAGATATCTAAAAGTGATCAATTGACAAAATGTTGGAAATAGTATGATAAGTAATTTAGCAGTTGACAAATGTTTGATATCTCTTATAGAAATCGAGTTAATCAAGCTTAAAGTCGAGAGTTAGGAGGCCCTTCTAATACAGGTTCTATGGAAACTGGACAACGATTTTTACTTTCTTATTTTACGAATTTAATTTGAAAAGCATTATTACCAAATCAAGGCATTTCAGCAACTTCCGAAAAGCCAAAAAATGTGACTCGTTTTCTCAAGAATTCGAAATTCGAAGGATTACTGTACCCTAAATTTCATAAACATTAGAAAAGGTGGTATAAAAAGAAGCCTATGAATGAGAAGTAATTCGGTTCATTGATAAGAAACAGATGTTTAAAAAATTAACTCTAAAAGCCTATTGTATCTTTACAAATCCTAAACCTAAAGAGGAAAATAACTGACTGGGAAGAAAGTTGAAGCTAGAAAAGGGGTGGAGCTACAGTATCCCAAACACTTCTCTCGGTTTTTTTGTTTCAATCACGAAGCACATTACACGCACCTATACTAGTTTTAATTGAAAATGCGGCCCCCTTGATAAGGTTCTTTAATCAAAATATAAAAAAATGGGCTAGTAGTCGGTCGGACTAATGGGAATACATTTTCGTACTCCTTATACTGACTCTAGAATCGAAGAAAAAGTCAGAAAACGTTATTTGAGTTTAGAAAATCATCGGGTTGACATATTTGCCACAAAAATAAATCCAAAACCTTTTAAAGCCCAACCCGAAAAAGTGTATATATATTGGAAATGAGGCCACTACAAAAAAAGAAGAAGAACGACGAAAAGGAAGGAAACAACTCATAACTCCATGGAGATGTTTTATTTGAAGTGGCATTCGAAGGAGCTTTTATGAAGGAAGAAAAATGGATGTAATGGTGAAGAGGGCGAAAAAAAGCGGAGGAATGGATAATTGGTTGGTCCCAAGAGACTGAAATTATTGGGATCTGATTGACTTTTAAGACTGAAAAACCATCATTATTGTGATAAATAAATGAAGTTGCGTTTCTGTCTCTGTTTGTCAGTTTATCCGCAAAAGAAAAAAAACTTGAAAATTAGATACACATTAACTTTTAGAGAAAAACTGAGGGGCGAAGCGAGGAACCAGTAAACTAGGTCAAGCCGGCTTTTTGAAGAAATCCGAGGAATCCGAGGAATCCAAGGAAGAGGTTTCATATCTTATAAAGTGATGGATTTTAAACTAGGAAGCAAAAAATAAGTGACAAATCCCCATTTTCTTTGCAGGGATTGACAAACTTTGCACTTTTTTTTTGGATTTGCTTTTTAATATTGGGGATTTTGTTTTTGTTTTTTTGAATCCGGTGGTTAGTGTTTCTGACTGTGATGGCGGATGGAGAAGGAAAATAATTATTGAAAAAAAGAATTTGTATTTTTGAAAAATAAGGGACCTAACCAAGTCACATCAGTATTTAAGGTCCATGGTATTTAAGGATTCTAGATCATACAGATTCTAGATACAGTATACCTTCTAATAGAAGCCCACCAAACCGTCCACTTTGAATCCATATATCTAGGTTACTGAGAAAGATATCAAAAGTTTGTCAACTGATAAATTATTTATCATCATATCCGCAATATTTCATGGATTGACAGATTTTTGAAATCTTTTACAGGAATCAAGATAATTGAGCTCAAAGTTGAAGGTTTGGGTGTTCTTCTAGTATTAATACGGTAGATGGGCTATGAAAATCAAACGTGCCAAGCTCTGCGTCCTAAATCCTAGGTCCCATAGAATCCCTCATTCTACAGATGACGGATAAAGAATCCGCAATTTTACGGATCTTAGAACCACCAGATCCTAAATCGAACAGCTTTTAAAATCTATGGAGCGTAAATTCTATGGAACCAAGGTACTAGGGTTTCAAGATTTTCAGAACCCTAGATTCTATAAACTTCAGTTCCCATGGATTTTAAACTTTATGAATATTGGGTACGATGGATCTTAGAATCTTGGGATTCTAGATTTTATGGATTCTGGAACATGAAACACAGATTAAATCTAACATGAGCCTATTGATCTTAAATCCTATGGATTCAAAATAATGTCGGTTCTATCATAAGCTTGAGAAAAATTCAATCAAAAAACATCACAATGGCGATGAATTCTACAGTAATCCAAAATCAGTTTTACACTGAACTTGATAACAAAAATGAAACAATCCCCTCCCACCGTCCCTTCTTTTATACTGCGCTCAGAATAGTTAACCTGATTGACAGGCATGACTAGCAGTATGCCTAATCGTTGATTTACGATGTTCCAAAGTTGTCGCCTCTCCATGGCCACGTAACTCCGTCTTTATCAACCATTTTATAACCGTTTCTGTTATTCTACTCACTTTTCCAAGCAACACGCTATCTCGATTCTCGATCGGAACCTTGAGAAATGTGAGTAAATCTCGAAGTGTAGGCAATTAGGCAAGCGGATACCCATAAAAATGTTGCGATGGGAAGGTGTGGTACGGATGATGGGAGAGAATCGGAACAAGATTTATTTGGAATTGGCTTATCAGTGTTTGCAAGTTCGATACGGTAGTTAGTGGTGATGATGGGCGGAGACTCTATCCGATTCAGAGAAGATAGGTAACACCTTTTCTTACCGTAATCACAAGAAGAGGTACCAATGAATGGAGTTCTCGTTCTTTTTTCAAATCTTTGACTCTTTTTTGTGCTGCATAAAAATATAAAACGCTACCGTAAAACCTGTAATAGAAGGGCCCCTACACTGTCAAGTTCGATAGATTAATTGGCTCAAATTTAATTGTTATGGGTCCCTTCTATTACAAGTTTTTTTCAGGGCTTATTTTGACATTTTCTGGTTACAAGCGACATACCTCGCCAAAATGTGATTTGGCCAAAAAGTTGTTAATTTCTGTTTTTCAGGACTTCAAAGTTGCCGCTTTTTTTCTTTCTGATTTTTTTCGCTTTTTTTATAATGCTCCTGTAGGAAGAAAATTGTTTCCAGTTTCTTGAATTTTTTCTGATTCTCCTTGGCTCCAGTCTTTATTTCTCGCCAACGGAGGAATAATATTCTTTCAACCCAGATAATATTGGGTCCTGAGAAGTCAAGAAAAAAGAGTTAAAAATGTGAAAATCATAGAAAAAAAAATATGAAAATCATAAATTTATCTCGTCTTGATATTTCTTTTAAAAACGAATGAATGTGAATGCCTGGTTATTAAAAGAAATACAGTATTGCATGGAGATGTCCCATGACAATCAAAAATTTCCAGCGATAGGAGATTGAAATTTCTTTTATTTGTTCATTTTGGAGAACTCCAGAGGCTGCTGAAATCAGTTTTTAACCTGAAACATATAATCACTCGGACTCAAGTTTGTACTAGCATAAAAATTGAGTAAGGCGTTGTACTGGGATCAAATTTGGAGGGCAAAAATTTAGATAATTCATCAGTAAACTGGCCATGTTTCAAAGTAGTTGATCAATTTTGAGCTGATTTATCGCTTGTCAAAATTGTTTTATCAATGAAAATCGCAAGAAACATTTCCTCGTTCATCTTTGGACAATCATAACCATACCTACAAAAGGAATCACTTTGAAAGTTTCAGTAGTTTCGAATCGAACGTAAAATTTTATTTCTATCAGTTTTAGAGCTTCCAAAATACTTATTTTCAAAGATACATCCGTTTTTTTCAGTCCGGGTGATATTGCGCCAGCCTGTATTCCTATTTTATTTTATTTGAGTAATCCAACAATTTTGCATTCAAAATAAAACACTTCTTCTTCTTTCTTATGTCTAATTAATTGTTTCTCAGACGTTCTCCTTCCCCCAATTCCTCTGTTTTCCGCACTTTTACGACAACAAATTCGTCGCCTTTCGGCGTCGCTATACCGATAAAGTTCAGTTTCCCGGCCCATAAAAAGACACCCTCCGACGATTGAGTTTCCTTGCTGTTTTCCTTGCCGAAACGGTAGTCATAAAAACGGATATTCATCATCATCAACATGAGAATTTTTTCGACCTCTTTTTATCCACAAAAAAGCTATTATCGTTTTTCACGAAAAGTTAATGGAAAATAGTGACTTTTTCTTTTTGACCAGTAGGTAGTTGACTATTTCCATAATCGCTTCATTTATTATAATTGGGCTACGGGCGGGCTGTTGCGGTTCAATTATTATGAGGCGGAATGGGGAAAACGAGGAGAAGAAAGGAATTTATGATGAGTTTTATATCGGAGAGAAAGAGCTCTGTGAATTTTCAAATTCGTAATTGCGATTCCGACTTTTGATGTTTTGGGGCATTCGATGAGTCTTCTGGTGTACGAAGTCTGGGAAATTCTATTCCTGATCCCCAGTTTTAGACTATCGTTCTCGAAGTTACTAGAATTAAAGTTTTTTTTGGAACATGAAAAGAAGCTTGATGAAGTGAGCCATAACACAATTTTGTTCTCCCTCGGATTCAATTTTCACTGAATTCCGATTTGTATGCAAAGTGCAAAAAGAACACACGAATGCACTTTTGGAAATTGATTGAATTTTTAGAAGGAGACTGAAGTTGCAATGATTTCTTACAAGGTTTTTTTAAATGTATGTTTTTAGGTTTTATAAGATCAGAATTAGGGCTTTAATTTGGCCGATCAAAAAACGTCGGCCGACGACCGAGCTGACCAAATTCGTCCATTTGCGCGTCAACCTGTCAGAGAGTGTTTGCGTACGCAGCATTTCATTGTACGACGCATTTTTTGATTTTGTGAACAGTAAAATGCTGTGCGCGCAAAATGCTTGGGCAGCTTGATCGGCGGTCGGGCGGTCGGGTGGTCGGCGATTCCTTAATCAGAATATTCACAAAAAAAGTTTTTGAAAACCGAAACTCCCCCAAAATGCTCCCAAAAATTCTGAAAATTACTAGAGTCAAATGTTCCCAACAAACTAAAAAATGATTAACACAAAAATGAATATCCCAGAACTACTTTCTTTGTTCTTGTTCTCTTGGTTTCATTTACATTCTTTTTCTTTTTTATATCTGTTCTTCTTTTTCTGCATATTCTTTTTGCCTCTTCTTCTTTTTTCGGCACTTATTCTTCTTATTCCTCTTCTTTATATTCCAAAAAAGTCACTAACACCAACACTTCCAGCTGGTTACTCTTCTCTTCATTCCTCCCCCGTTTTCTTCCAGTTTTCTCTTATTTCTGCTTCAACCCACTTACGCCGACCTTTCTCGTTTTTTTCGTTCTCCCACATTTTTTTTTCAAAAATTGAGGTAGGATAATGAACTTTGTCCGGTGGTCGGTGGGTATAATTTGCATGATTGTTATATAGGGTACCATATATTTCACCTGCGACGAAGAAAAGAAATAAAAAAAGAGAGGAGAGGTACTCCCGTCCCACAAATAGCTTAGAAATTGGGAACGAAAGAAGGACTATACCTGTTGAATGGCGCCCATATGTCTCGTATAATAATAGTGGAGAGAGTATGGGTTATTGAGAGAGTGGACAGAGATATCAAATTATAGGAGACGTGCTCCAGATGCCCTTGGAGAGGTGGGGGAGGGGAAATTCAAATAACAAGAAATTTGGCGGTTTTGGGATGGAAGAGAATGAGGTCACTCGTTTTGTTACTTTCTTAATTTTCAATATTTTTGGTTTAATTAGGCAATTATTTTTTTCGAATGAGTCATTGTAGGAATCTATCCCGTTTGTGGGGGATTCGAAATTAAAATTTATGAGGCAAGGTTCTTTGAATTTAGTACCGTAAAACCTATAATCCTAATTTTTAACTTTAAACCCATATACCGTATTTTCATTCAACTTTTCTTTTATTTTCCGTTATTTCCTGTCGTTTTAAAAAAATTTTGTTCAGTTAAATACCAAAAACCATCTAATTGAACCCCTTTCTCTAATAAAAGTCCACCCTGAGAAGGAGGTTGAAAAGTAGTAGCTCATGGGCATCTATTAGAGAAATTACGGTATCTTATTTCTTGTCAATGATATAAAAAGTTGTCAATTGATGAATTGTTTAACATAACCTGATGAATATTTTGTTATGTGCACATTTTTGATATCTTGAATAGGAAACGAGATAACTAAGATCAAAGTTGACTGTGTATGTGCCCTTCTATTACGGGTTTAACGTCAGTTGAAACAATATACATTCTCGCTCTGCCTTCTTTCCAAATAGGTAATTAGTTCTAATTCCTTTTTCCCCTAAAAAAAGTTCCTCCATGTCCGTAACCCCTACCTCTAACCTGTTTGCTGTCCCGTCAATTAGCTCCAATTTTTGCTACCCATCACTTTCCTTACCTTTCTTCATTTACCTCTCCCCCACCACCCATCTTCATTATTTTCCAGTTATTTTTATCGGTTTATTGTCGTGTTGACTTTTCAAAACTTACTACTGTTACAAAAACATCATTGTTGTCCAATTAGTCTTGAGTGTGTATTGTCATAGGTAAACCGTCGTGTTTAAAATGGGTCCGAAACTTGGAGGAATAGTGTTTTTGTACATTATTGGGTATTCTCACCAAAAATAGGAATAAGAAAACGTTTTATTTCTCCTGCTCATTTTTTCAAAGAAGCATTTAGTTCATGCGCCTTTGTGCTACATATTTTGGCCCGTGTATAAAGTTCGCTATGAGTGATGATGTTCCAAATCGGGGAGACATAAAAAAGTGCGTTTTGAATCCATTAGGCTTTCGTCGCAAGGGCATATGGAATATTAAGAGTTTGTAGCTTTTTAAACTCATTTTAAAATATACAAAGTTTCTCAAATTCGTAGGACCGATCTAACAAAAAACAATTTTGATTACCGTAAAACTCTAATAGAATGTCCTCTTCTCTAATAGAATACAAATGAATATAGAAAAAAACGGCTCTTTATGACAAGGGGGGCCCATGAGAATAGGGGGGGGGGGGCAAGTCAAAAGGGTGCCCATAGGTAAAAATGTGGACTAAGTTAAGATTTACCTATTTTTTCTAGTTTTTCGAATGTTTCTAGAAAAATTTCGTACTTTGCGCTTGTTTCCACAAAAATTTGTAACTTCAAAAAATTTCAGTTTAGGCCGGTTTTTTGTATGAACAACACTATTTTTTACATTGTAACTGTGTAATTTGAAGTTATTCAGCTAGTTCCAGATTTTTCCAGG